TGGATTCATGTAATCCCAGGGACTGGGGAGGCTGGGACAAGAGGATAATAAGTTGGAGGCCAGCCTGATCAATTTAGCCAGATCCTGTTCAAAATAAAAAGGGCTGGTGATATAGCTCAGCATAGAGTGTGCAAAAACCAATTTTATAATAGAATTCTCAAAAACAAAACAAAACCCAAAATCCCTAATACAACCCTAATGGTTGACACACGTATTTGTTCACGGAAGAAATAATGCCCAACCTACCAGACAATTAGATTTATTTTTAATATTCAAAGAGTGATCGGTAATTGCAAACACGGCACAAAACACAAAAGGTTTTGTTTTCCAAGTGTTGGGTCTCAGTCACCCAATTTCCCTCCTTGCCACGGTCACAGTGACCTGCCTCTTAACTAGTGCTTGAAAGTTATATTCTTAGGCAGCTGTTTTGAGCAACTGCTCTGATTTACCAATCACCAGAAGCAACCAGAGTCTCAGAGGCCACGCCCGCCCTTCCCTTTAGCTGTAAGGGGCGGGGCCACATTTAGAACCAAGGAGAGAACGCCTACTTGGCTCTAAAAACTAGGTCGTGACTGGCTGTCGTTAGTCATTATGTTAATTCAGCTGGATGTGTTGAAAACTTTTTAAAAACTTATATTTTCATCTAGAACGTTAAGCTGTGTTGTAGAATGACAGTGTTTGAAAATACTGTAGTGCAAAGTGTGTTTTATGATTTATAGTGGAATTAGAAATGGGGGTGGGGAGGAGGGGAAACCTACCTCATCTTCATCTAAAAGTGAATAATCATGGTAGACCAAGCAGGGCCCGGTGGGAGTGGGTYAAGACTATACTTTCAGGGATCATTTCTATAGTATGTTACTAGAGAAGTTTCTCTGATTGTGTGGAGTACYGGAAACCACGAGGAGGAGTTGAGTGGTCTCTCCTGAGCGTGAAGCAGGCTCTGGGTGTTGCATATTTGCAACTGCCCTTTGCCATTGATGATCGTTCTTAATTCTCTTTGGAGGTTAAGAGGGAGMGAACACTGTCTGAGTGGTTTCTGTTGCAAAAAGTTCTTTTCTTAAAGACAGCAGTAGTCTTTCTTTCAGGCTTGGTAACATCACAGCTCKGTCTCATAAGGACTGAATAAGGTTTTATTTAGTTGTAAGCGTAGTGATTTTTTTCCTTTTCCAATAGGGTTCCTCTGATTGCCCTCTGATTTGTGATCCTGCTGAATAGCTGGGATTTTACGTGAGGAATGCAGCATCACACCAGATTTTTCAACTTTTTAAATTTTTTTTCCCTCTGAAGGACATCTGTATCACCTGAAGAATGGTGACTCAATGCCAGGGGAGTGCCACACCTTTAACCCCACAACTCAGAGATGGGGGTGGCTGAGGCAGGAGGATTGCAAGTTTGAGCCAGCCTTAGCAATTTAGGGGAAACCCTGTAGTAAAATAAAAATAAACCTGAAATAAAAGGGGCTGTGGATTTAGCTCACTGGTAAAGTGCCTCTGGATTCCATCTACTCAGGGCCTCCAAAAATGCTTCCTAGTCCCAAGATCTTGGTTGGGTTTATTTGCCTCACCAGTCCCAGGGATTAATAAACCTGTTTCCCTTATCTGTGGTCCTTTCTGTCACAAACTGAATAGTTTACGTGTTAGCCTGCTATAGGTTTATGGTTGCTGGTATAAAAGATGAGATGCCTGGGTCAGAGATGAATGATAGTTTGTTACAGTAGCCAGAATATAATTTTTGTGTTTAGTTCCTCTAACCCCAGTTCTTATAGAGCCAAGCAAAGAGAACCAGATGATATTGTATATGTAATGGGTTGTTTTACAGTAAAGGAAMCTTGAGGTTAGGGAACATGGATCCTTTATAATAGACAGTATACCCTTTCCTGCAAAGGGAAAATTATCTTTATTTTATTGGACAGTAAGCATGTATTCACTTTGCCCTAATGAGGATTCTATGTCTTCCAAAGTTTACAAAAAGATCAAAGTGTAGTTAGTACTTTGTTCCCACAATAAGCAAAACATCAGACATCCATGGAGAGGTCTTCCCAGGGACACTTTAACACTGAGCTACACCTACAGCTTGCTTTATTTATTTATTTATTTATTTATTTATTTATTTATTTCTACCAGGGATTGAGCCCATGGGTGCTTAAAACCACAAACCACATCCAATGCTTTTTAATATTTTATTTTATTTTGGGGGGTACTTGGGATTGAACTCAGGGGCACTTGACCACTGAGCCATATCCCCAGCCCTATTTTATATTTAATTTCAAGACAGGTTCTCATTGAGTTGCTTAGTGCCTCACTTTTTGTGGGGGCTGGCTTTGAACTCCTGATCCTCCTKCCTCAGCCTCCCTGGCCACTGGGATTACAGGCTTGTGTCACCATGCCCTCCTTTGTGGGAAGCCATTCTTGCACGTGATTGGGCACTTCCCTGATTGGGTGTGAGGCGTTCTGGCCAAACTGTGTCGGAGCTATCCCCACCCTCTCCAGGTGCAAGAGCCTGTCTGTGTGGGGGTGTGACTGACCATTGACCCTGAGACCAATCACTGACCCTGACCTTGGAATGCTGCCCCCCTCCACCTTCATTGGATGGAATTTCTTTTCTTTTCTTTCTTTCTTTTTTTTTTTTTTTTTTTTAGAGAGAGAACTTTTTAATATTGCCTTATTTTATCTTGAGACAGGTCTTGTCTAGTTGGCTAGGCTGGCCTGAAACTTGTCATCTTCCTGCCTCGGTATCCCTAGTAACTCTCTRGGATTCTACGTGTGCATTACAATACCTGGCTTCCCTCACTATTCTTTGCTGTTCTCTACTGTTAGGCTTGTTTGTGTTGGACAGATACCAGGTACTGAAATTAAGGAGATACATTTGGCAGTTCCTCTAGAGTAGGGGAGACACTCTAATAGGGGATACAAATATATCACATATACTTGGTAATAGCAATCCCTGAGCAGTAAGAAATATAAACCCTGCTAGCACTGCTCTCACCATGAACACTGCTTCTTCTTACTGGATGTCTCTGGTGTCAACACTGATCCTCCTTTTTGGAAGTCTTACTTCTTTTGCCACCACAACCCACCTTCTGTGTTTCCTCCCATCTCTGTTTGTACCCCCTTTCCCCACCCTCAATCTTTTCTTAAGATGTTAGTAGACCTCAGGACTGACCTTAAACCCTTCACAGATTGGGTAGTATCTTTGTTGACTCATCTCCTCCCCAGTTTAAGAATGGCTAATAATATAATGTTAACCAGCCCTATCTAGCCCTATTCTATGCTCTTGGATTTATTCATTTAATACTAGGTGCTTGAGATATTGTGAATGTAAAACCATGCACARTCCCTGCCCTTCTGGAACTTAAAAGTCTCATGCAGGTTATAGGCATCAATCAAATAATCACATATAGAATGATCTAAGGAGGTTGAGGAAAGATTTGGAGACAATAGCACTTGGTTAGATGTCTAAATAATGATGTTGGGGTTTGGAGGTTGGAGGGAAATGTCTGTCAGAACAGTTTGTAATGACTTCCTGGCAGAAGAAAATATGATGAGTATGAGGAACTATATGGCCATTGTGGATAGAGTAAGAGAAGTGGGTAYAAAGAAAACTAAGGAGGTGAGTGTGGATTAGTTTATGCAAGGCCTTCTAAGGCTGTAGAAAATTTTTGTTTTAATCCAGAAGATGGGGAGCCACAGAAGCTTACAGCAGAGGAATAATACATTGACCTGTTCATTTAAACAGAAACCATGTTGTTTGTAGAAAATTCTTTGGGGGGAAAAAAATAATACATCTTTGGTATCTCTGTGTGGGCATGGTTTTCATTTCAAATATTTGTGAAAATACCATTATTCCTTCAGACAAACAGAAGATTACCCCCCCCCAGAAACTTATGAACAGAAATTGACAAAACAGAGTCAACACTGTAGTGAAGATGACTGTGCACCACAAAATGGAGTTCAGGCAGGGAAGGGATAGGTTACCCATCACAGTCAAATTTTAGYTGCTATCAGGGCATATCTTGCAGTGTTCACAGATTATCAGTTCTATTTTTATAAGGTTTGGCTATAGCACAGAAATTTCATTCATCTACTTGACTACACCTCTGGCTGAGGTGCCATTGGATCAGTGCTACCCAAAGTTATTGGTTAGCCTACYTTTGCCAGTAAAAAGACCCAAATTAAAGATCAAGCTTCTTCAGAAATCATTTTTATGGATAGCAAAGCATCAAGACACACCAGAGTCAATCTAATTTTGGGAGTTTGGTTTGTTGAAAGGCAGTGCTCACCGTAAACTCTTCGGAAACTATGCACATCCATGAGCTTCTCGTGGGCCTCACAAGACGCTTATTCCTGTTTTTTGTTTTGTATGTTTTGGTACTGGGGATTGAAAACAGGGGCGGTCTACCACCGAACTACATCCCAGCCCTTTTACTTTTCGTTTCGAGACAGAGTCTCGCTAAATTTCTGAACCTGGCCTTGAACTTGCCATCCTCCTGCCTCTGCTTTTGAGTGGCTGCTAATACAGGCGAACACCACGCCCGGTTCCCTGGTATTTTGATAACAGGATAAAAATTTTAAAATAGGGCTTTGGATTATCGCTTTCACTCTTAATTGTTTCGTTTTTCTGGTGAAGTCTCATAGCTTCGACCACGGGTCCAAAACGAGTTATGATTGCGATGGTTGCCGSGGCTCCGGCGCGCTTGGTAGACGTCAGCACTTGTCAGTGGGTAAAAAAAGCTGCGTAGCGGCACTGGGGCGGGGCTGGAAATAACTGGCGTGTGATTGGCTCTTTAACAACCGAATGTTAATTAATGTGCCAGTTTGTAATGTCTTTGAAAACTCAAAAGCGTATTCAAACCGCTTTACATAACTATTGTAATAGAGAGATTTTATTTAGAAAACATCTGCCAATATACGTTTTAGAAGTCTGGTGCTGGAAGACCAATTCACCATCAGCAAAATGTGTGTGTGTTTCATGCACTTGGGAAATGAAGGTGAATGGATGTTAAGACTATACTTTCAGGGATCATTTCTATAGTTCGTTACTAGAGAAGTTTCTCTGATCGTGTAGAGTACCGAAAACCACGAGGAGGAGCTATAGCGTTCCCTTCTGAGCGTGAAGCAGGCATTTGGTGTTGCTTTATTGCAACTGCCTCTTGCCATTGATGATCGTTCTTCTCTCCTTTTAGGAGGGCTAGAGGGAGGGAACGCAGTCTGAGTGGTTTCCGTTTTTTTATTTACTGTTACAAAATGTAGATGTAGTGAGGTTTAATTTTTTTTTTTAAATAAGCGTATTTTTAGTGTTACTGTTTGTTAGTCTTCTTGGGTGGCAAGGGTCATTTACTATAAACAACTGTTCTCGTGGGTAGGGAATCTTTGTGGGGTAAAACTGCTGGSAGTGCTTATCCTTTTATGCTGAGGCTCGCTTTGAAATAGTCATCTTCCTGTCCTAATCTCCCAATTCTCTGGGATTAGTGGCGTGGGCTACCTGGCCTGCCATCGTGGGGTTTTTATGGGTAGGTTACATAGCGTTTCCTTTTTAAGACTTATTTTTAAGTTGGGTTTTTTTTTTCTTTTAAGTTTATTGTTATTCTATCTACAGAAAGTGGGAGAGAAAATGATTAACTTTTTTTTTTTTAAAGAGAGAATTTTTAATATWTTTTAGTTATCCGGGGATACAACATCTTTGTATGTGGTGCTGAGGATGGCCYGAGCATGCCAGGCGAGCTACCGCTTGAGCCACATACCCACATACCCAGCCCCTTAAGTTGGGTTTTGAATGTACAGTATGTTGTTCCGTCTACAGGTTGATTCATCTATCCTGGCCACTCTTGAAATATCTTTTTTTTTTATAGATGAAGAGTGGTTTCTGATGAAGGCAAGGCTTTTTTTTTTTTTTTTTACTACGTGTTTAAAAAATTAACTTCCTTTTTTATTACCTTTATTTATTTTTTTATTTTAATATTTATTTTTTAGATGTGGATGGAAACAATACAATAATACAATGCATCTATTTATTTATTTATTTATTTATTTATTTATTTTTATTTAATGCCGTGCTGAAGATCGAATCCAGGGCCTCCCACAAGCCCTGAGTGAATGCTCTAACACTGAGCCACAACCCCAACCCCATACTTTGTTGTCCTTTTTGGTATTGGACTTGAACCCAGAGGCACACACAACGCTGATGCACATCTTTAACTCATTTTTTTCAGTCAGTGGCTCAACTAGATTGTTTAGGCCCTCAGTAAACTGAGATTTACATCAAATTTGGAATTCTGCTTTTCATCCTCCTTGAGTCGCTGGGTTTAAAGGCATGTGCTACCACTCCAGCCTTAATTTCTTTCATTCTTTCTTTTTTAGAAAATAATACCAGAGTGTATTATTTCAGCGCAGTTTTTGAAACATATTTGATAAATAAAACACTAGGTTTGCCTTCTAATTTATTTGTGCCCCTCTGTGTGTGTTAAAATGGATCCATCTACCCTTTTTTTAAAAGTTCACAGCAGTAATTCAAGAAATATAATGTAATTTTATATTGAAATTTTCTAGTTTCATTTTAGGAAGATTTCTGATGTTTGCATTAATTCTGTATTTGCTTTTGTAGGAATTTATGTTGATGCAGTTAACTCTTTGGGCCAAACAGCACTTTTTGTTGCAGCATTATTGGGCCTTACAAAGGTAGTTGATGTTCTGGTGGATTATGGATCAGACCCAAATCAGTAAGTACAATAACATCAGTAGCTAGAAAATAAGTGTTCTCAAGGGTARTCCCCTCAACATTCATACTGAAGATAGAACCCAGGGATGCTCTACCACTTAGCTATATCCCTAATCCTATTTGTTTAAGTACCAGGGGTTGAATCTAGGGGGTGCTTTACCACTAAGCCACATCGCCAGCCCTTTTTATTTTTTATTTAGAGAAAGGGTCTCTATGAATTATGTTTTTTTATTAGTTGCTCAAGACAATACAATGATCTTGACATATCATATATTTGATTCAAATAGGGTATGAATTCTCATTTTTCCACATGTACAGATTGCAGGATCACATTGGTTATACATCCATGTGTATACATACAGCAATCCTAGTGTCAGTTGTATTCTGCTGCCTTCCCTATCCCCCCCTCCCCTCCCCTCCCCTCCCATCACTATTCTCTACCCATTCTACTGTGACACTTATGAATTACCTAGGATATTGCTAAGTCACTCAGGTTGGCTTTGAACTTGCGACCCAAAACTATGTATTTTGATTCCACTTGGACCTGTATTCCCTTGCAAGGTGTTAAATGAAAAAATTTAGGTGGGAAACAGATTATACAATATATTCATATTCATGCTTTTGTATATACATAGAAAATCCTGAAATGATAGAAAAACTTGTAATAGTAGCTGCCTTTGGACAAGAAAACTGTGTATCTTGAGTTGCAAAGGTTTTTTTGTTGTTGTTGTTTTGGTGTGTGTTGGCGGGGTGCCAGGGATTGAACTCAGGGGCACTTGACCTTTGAGCCACATCCCCAGCCCTATTTTGTATTTTATTTAGAGACAGGGTCTCTATTTAAGTTACTTAGCACCTTGCTTTTGCCTCAGCCTCCCAAGCCACTGGGATTACAGGTGTGCACCACTGCTTCCAGCCAAGAGTTGCAAGGTTTTAAAATTTTTTTTCTTTGTTCCTTTGTTAACTTCTTTTCCTWTCCTTTCCCCTTCCGTCCTCCTTATCTCAATTGTGTTTGTTTTTCAACTAAAGGGCAAAACTTCCCATGTGGTTCTGATGTGCAACCAGGTTAAGAAACTAACTATACATCACACCGTCACCATACCCTAGTCACAATAAAAGCCATACCTTGTCTCACATAGTTTAATGGCATTGATGATATTTTTTTGTGTGGTGTAGATCCTTATCTGAATTGGTTATGCCAATGTGTTGGGTCTCAACTGCAAGGTTTAAGGAGGGGTGGCGCCTAAAACAGTTGTCTCTTTTTTGATGGTACAACCGAATTGAGGGGTGCTCTTCCAGGCTTCCTACCACCTAACTACATCCTAAGTAAGCCCTTTTTGGTTTTTATTTTGAGACAGGGTCTTGCTAAGTTACCCAGATTGACCTTGAACTTGCCATTCTCCTGCCTTAGTCCCTAGGATTATAGTTGTGCRCCACGATGCTTGTCTCAGAACAATTGTCACACGAGAGATGGTTTCCGGTTACTGTGCTTGACCAGCCTGACCCTAGGGTACTGTAGACAAAAAAGGGCAGTCAATATCAGGGGGTGCTAGGGCAAGAACACTATGGTTTGTAGTCGGACACATATTTATGTATGAACCTCAGCCTTGCCCTTTTGTTTCCTTATTTAATGGAAATGGGAAAGATAATATCTTGGAGGGTAAAGTTAATGATGGAAAAAAGATGAGTGTTAAGCTCCTGTTGGCACAGATCAGGGCATCGTGAATAATCACTGAAGGTTGCCAGTGTAAACTGGGAGCCCTGTGTTATGTATTGAATCCTCCATCCTGGAAGGAAGGAGTTTTGTCATGGACACTCACTGTACAATTCCTCCCTTCCTACTCCCAGCCGCTGCTTTGATGGGAGCACACCTGTTCATGCAGCAGCATTTTCAGGAAATCAGTGGATCCTTAGCAAACTGCTGGATGCAGGAGGTGACCTGCGGCTCCATGATGAGAAGGGTCGAAACCCACAGACCTGGGCCTTGGCAGCAGGGAAGGATCGCAGCACTCCGGTAAGTATGGATCCCACTTTGCAGTCATACCCAGTGGAAGAACACTGAGTTGAGAGTGAGTATCCTGGTGTAGCACAGGGCTTGCAGCAAGTCTTAACATTGGCATTAGACACATATGCCTGGGTTAAAGCAAATTACCCTGTAAAACCTAGGATAAGTCTAGTGAACCTTTCTAGTCATCTGTGCAGTGGGAATGGAGAACAATTATAATTTGTCTAACCCATTTAACTACTACTTACTAGGACTCATGTTCTAAATGTTTTTCATGTAGTAACTTACTTTTAATCTAACAACAACTTCTCAGGTAGACAATAATATGTTCCTCATTTTATAAACAGAGAAACTGAGGCCTGTTGACATTAAGTAACCTGCTTGAGTTCACACACTGGCAGGTGTGATGTATTGTTTTTTGGGGAGCCCTGCACTGAAAAAACAAACAAACAAACAGAGTACATGTTTTTTTGCAATAGGGTATCATTGAGTGTCTGAGGCTGATGTCAAACTTGCAGTCTTTCTGCCTCAGCCTGCTGAGTAGATGGAATTTCAGGTGTGCACTACCTCACTTAGCATTGTGATATGTTTTAATGAAGACTAAATATCATAACAAATGTAAACAAAAGGTCATGWATAGTGTGAGCACTGTCGCATCCAGTCTCCTTCCCTACTTCTGGCTCTCCTGCTTATTAGCTGTTGGTTTTTCTGCMCATTTTCTTCATCTGTTGAAGAAGGGAGTTGGAAATCATTGACAAGTCTTCTCCCTGGAAAGCATTTCATATCTTTAGAAAATCACTTGGAGCCCTCCCTTTTCCAGAGATTTACCTTTTTTTTTCCTCAGACCATTCATCTTCACATCCAAGCTTCCAACTCCCATTAAGGGCTGGTGTGGCCAGCATTGAGTGTCTTTGCCTTATGTTGCAGATGGTGGAGTTTATGCAGCGCTGTGCCTCACACATGCAGGCCATCATCCAGGGCTTCTCTTATGAYCTTCTGAAGAAGATAGACTCCCCTCAACGGCTCATTTGCAGCCCGCCCTGGTTTGGGGGTCTCATGCAGGGGTGAGTATGGCTTCAAGCCAGAGTGAAATGTTCTGCCCTTCCCCAGCATTTTTGTGTGGGAGCCCTGGATTGTGGGCTGCTTCAGTCTGCCTCCTCAGTACCTTCTGGCATCCGGCCCACCAAAAGTGATGAACTTGGAAAGAGAACCCATGCCCTTGATAAAGATTGGCCAGAGGAACATCTTCAGCCATCTCTTCCCTCCCTCTCAGAAGGTCTAGAGGAGATGGTTTCAGTGGGAATCACCCCATGGTTAGCAGAAAATGAAGTTCTCAGATCTGAGGAGCCCAGCAGAAAGCTGGGCAGTGGGGCAGATGGCTGACTCTTCTGTGTTTTCTTGTTGTTGTTTGTTTTTTTGTTTTATAACTGGGGTTTGAACCCAGGTGATTTAACTACTGAGCCACATCCCCATCTCTTTTTATTTTTAATTTTGAGTCAGGGTCTTGCTCAGTTTCTTAGGGCTTTGCTAAATTGCTGAGGATCGCTTTGAACTTGCTATCCTCCTGCCTCAGCCTCCTGAGCTGTTGGGATTACAGGTGTGTGTCACCAGTGCTGTCTGTTTTTTGTGTGTGTGGTGTTTTGTTTTGTTTTTTTTTTTTTTTTGGTACTAGTGATTGAACTCAGGGGCACTGGATCACTGAACCACATCCCTAGCCCTTTTTATTTTTCGAGACAGGGTCTTGCTAAATTGCTTAGGGCCTCACTAAATTGCTGAGGCTAGCTTTGAACCTGCTGCCTCAGCCCCCTGAGTATCTGGGATTACAGATAATTCACTACTGTACCTGGGCAGAATGACCTTTTTAAAATGGAAATTGAGATGTGCCATTCTACTAAAAACTCTTTGGGACCTTCCTTGTTATCAGGATAAACTCCTTGCGAGGTCAACCTCATCTCCTGCCCCTGTCCCTTGCATGCGTTTTCCCATTTATAGTTCAGATTGTCATCATTTTATTTGTATGTGTACTCCATTTTCCTAGTTAGGCAGACAGAAACCCTCACTGATTAGCAGCCTGGTGCTAGGTAGAGGCTCAGTACAAGGAGGGTGGGTTCATAGGCCAGCCAGAAAGGAAAACCCAAGTGTTTTGTTTTGTTTTCCTGGTACTGGAAAGTTCTAACCACTGAGCTATATACCCAGTCTTACTATTTTATTTTGTTTGGAGACAGAGTCTCACTAAATTGCCCATACTAGCCTTCAACTTGAGATCCTCCTCAGSCTCCTGATTAGCTGGGATTACAGGTGTGTGCCACTGCATCTGGCTGGAAAATCCAAGTTTAAGTGTTGATAAACTTGTAAAATTTTACTTATAACCTAGACAGCATTTGTTTAGAGTGTCACATCTCAATTTCCATTTTAAAAAGATGAAACATTCTAACTATGGGGTGAATAGAATGTTTAATGGAAAATAAAATGGAATGTAACTGCCAACTTTTTTGTGGAACTTTCTTTTTTATTGGTACATTATAATTATGCATGATAGTGGGATTTGGTACATATTCATAACATGCATATAACATAATTTGGTCCATTTCATTTCCCAGTGCTTCCTTTTTTTTCCTCTCTTCCTTTCTTGGTTCTCTTCCTCTACTTTACTGCTCCCCATTCTATTACCCATCTTTTTTTTGTGTGTGTGTGGTACAGGAGATTGAACCCAGAGCCTCACACATGCTAGGCTGGCACTGTATCACTGAGCTACATTTCCAGCCCACTTCTTTTTTTTTAATAGAAAGAAACCACACAAGGGCTGGGGTTGTGGCTCAGCRGTACAGCAATTTCCTTTCACGAGCGAGACCCTGGGTTCGATCCTCAGCATCACATAAAAATAAATAAGTGAAATAAAGGTATTGTGTCCAACTACAACTAAAAAATAAATATTAAAAAAAGAAACCACACAAATCCTGGGAATAAGAGTTGGCCTTTTAGATCTGTGAGTGGTGCCATATCAGAACCTGGATAGTAAAAGAAAATAAAAGCACTGAATTGAGAAGAACAGGTAATTATGGTGGTAGATAACTGGAGTTAGTTTTTTCTTCCCTTCATGCAGGCAAGTTTAGTTACATAGATATGGATAGAGAAATTTAGATAAGAGCAAAACATAGTGGTCTGAACTATAATTTTTGTCCAGGTCACTCTTAGAAAACAGTCTACTCTGTTGCTTAGTCAGAACTCACACCCTCAAAGAGCCACAATGCTGCCCAGGGGCCCCAGGAGGATGGGAGGCCTTATTAGTGACACCTGCTATTCTGCTGCTTGGTGGTCTCAGCCTCACAGCCAGCTCCAAGTCTKTTTCCATGGGCAAGAAACAGTCCACCATCTCCTAGGTCTTTGAGGTATAAGTACATATACTTGGTTTCTAGAGGACACTGCTGAGGTGATGTAGAAGAGGAGCCTTTACCTCATAGTGTGTCTGTTCAAATAATGTGACATGGTTGTCATCTACACTGACTGAGAGTAATGATGCTGGGCCATCAGATGTAAATTAGGATGTCTTATTTACTTCCTTCTAGATGTCAGAATCTTCTCTTTAGTTGCTTGGCAGGTTAAAGCAGGGAAGAGCCAGCCTGGCACTGAAGAGTTGCTGAGGAGACAGAGTCTGTACTTCTGAGGAGACAGAGTCTGTACTTAAGTACAATGTCTACATCTGTTCATGAATAGTGGCACATGGAGATTCACAGAACTAGTGCAGGCTGGAGCTTGGAATGCACTGTCCCTCCAGCCTCTGCCATTTGTCAAGAAGAGGAACTGGCTTCTGTGGCAGTAGAATGTTTTTTCYTTCAGTCTGAGCAAAAATTATTCAATTAGCAAGTACTAATTCAGTACTTACTGTCTTGGTGTGAACTGATCCATATAACCAATAAGTCATAGACATATGTTATAGACTATAGGAATAAGGTAAGATAATTTAGATAAGCAACAATAAGACATAAGTTCATGGAAAAGTTCATCAGGAGTAAGCCTAAGTAATAATAATAAAATCATGTAACTGTAATACAGGATTTAAGCCACAGGAAAAAAGATGGAATGGTGAAAGGTGTTAAGTCAATATGCCAGTATAGTTATAGATAAATATAGGCTGATAGGTTAATATAGATACAGACAAGGTTAAATCAATATAGTTGTGAACAATTGTATTAGCTAAAGTAGACATAAGGCTTTTAGATATCAGTAGTAAAATGATGAGTAAATGAGATAACTGCAAGCATCAAATAAGTTACTAGTACTGGGATAGCAGGAATAGAATCACTGTGGCTATACAAACAAAAAGTATGGCCATAGGGTCTCCATCTTAGCTGTTCTAGACTCTATTCTAGTTTTCTGTTACTGCTCCTGTGAAGAGGGAACTAACTGCATGACCCATTTTTTAAAAGAAAGCTGTCTTTTAAAAAATTGTTTTTCTTTATACCCCACAGAATGTACCCAACTCAGGATATGATGGTGGTCATGGTGTGTTACATCCTGGGTTTGAATACATTTATAGGTCTATATGACTTTAAAATAGATTATCGCCCCTGCTCAGCTGAAACTCAGGATACTTGTTTGGACCTGAGATGTGGTTAAGCTGACTGCTTTTTTTTTTTTTTTTTTTAACTTCTGTAACTTGCGTGCTTGCATGACACTGAGAAAAGCCCTTGAGTTGTGGTTTTCATCCTTAAATTCCCAAGACACAGGCCAGGAAATTGCTGTTCTCCCACAGAGCTTCAGTCTCTACAAGTGGGTGACAGTCCCTGGCCAGATAAATTAAGCTCTCTTTGATTTGAATTTGGACTTAGAGTGTTTTCTGAAGCGGCTCCTCATAATGCTACCACGTTCATGACATAATGCCAGGCTCCAGGAGCCAAAGAAATATAAGGTATTACCACTCCTTTCAGGGTACCTCCAGTTAATGGAGCCCTGGTGTGCAGGTGGTGTTTCGGGTGTGGTATACAGGAAGAGAAGTAGCTACATGAGCAGCATCTAGGTCTGGTTTCTACCGCTGTTTTCTTACTTCAGGCTAGCAGGCTTCCCCAACCAGGGCTCTGTTTTCCCATCTGTAAAATGAGAAAGTTTGAGAATAAATGTTTTAATATTCTTTGCAATTCTGGCCRTCTGTATTCATTTTCTGTCACTGCAAAATGAATTGGCCCTCAAACTTAGCAACATTAAACATTTTTGCCTCATAAAATTTCTGTGAGTCAGGAATCAGGGAACAGCTTAGCTAGATCACAGTCAAGATGTCATTTTGGGCTGCCATTATTAAAGGACTGACTAGGGATAGAAGATCCAGTTCCAAGATGGTGCACTCATATGACTAGAAAATTGCTACTGGGTGTCAGACCTCTCCATAGGACTACTTCAGTATCCCACAATTCCCCCAGAGCAAGTGATTCTCCAAGAGAGATCAGGGCAGAAGTCATGGTAGATGTCATCTTGAAAGTGATACTTCATGGTTTCTGCAATATCCTACTGAGATAATGTGTCTGACCTTCAAGGGATATGAATACCAGGAAGTTAGAATCATTCCTTCTCAGAGACTGGCTACTATACAATCTGTAGACAAACACACACATACACACAGAAAGATCAAGCAGTCATGCTCACTTAGCTATCACATGGACTAAAATTGGTATGAAGAGAATATTAGCATGGCCCTTGTATAAGGATTATGTGCAGATTTTTGAAATGTGCCATATTTTTCATTGTGGCTATTGGTAGCTAATGTTGATGCAGATCTAGAATAAGGGACTGATCCTCTTCCCCACCACCTGAAGGGAGCTACATCCCTGGCCCCATTTCTTTTTATTTGGAGATGAGATCTCACTAAGTTGTTGAGGCTGGCCTCAAATTAAAGTCCTCCTGCCTCAGCCTCCTGAGTTGCTGGTATATTGCCCAAGGTCTTTAATGTATATCTTCTAATGAAAGAGATTACATTCTTTTTTTAAAGTCATCTGGCAAAGCAAAATGCACTACACATTCTGAAAACTTGGTTTAGTAATTTTTCTCTGGATATTTGTTGTTAATTCTTATTTTTTTTTCTTTCTTTAAACATTTCTAGGAACCCTAATGGCTCTCCTAACCGGCTGCTTAAAGCTGGAGTCATTTCTGCCCAAAATATCTACAGCTTTGGATTTGGGAAGGTAAGAGGTTGCCAAGGTTGAGAATCTGTGGTCCCCTCTCTGAACTTTGTTCCCTTCCTCCTTCCTTATCTTCACCAATGCTTTTTGCTCCTTTCTTTCCCTTTGAAGGAAAGGTATTTCATAATGTTCTTGTTCTTACTGACAATGGTTAAAAAAAAAAAAAAAAGTTGGGAGTTCCCTTGAATAACCCTGGGCTAGATTTGAGGAGTTTAAAAGATGATCTTTTAATTTTGAGTAAAGGACCCGGAGAGCCACACTGTCCTATCTCTGTGGATTTGCCTCTCAATGACCTTGCCTTTCCACACACAGCCTGTGGGATGTTTGTTTGGTTCTGGGCGTTGAATTCAGGGACCCTCTACTGCCGGGTTTTTGTTCTCGCAACTAAAAGGCTCTAGTTAAACTGGGCTAACTGGGCTGCACGAAGTAACCACCCAAGAGACACAAATACCTTTTTCTTTGGGGTCGCTGTGAGGGGTCCTCTGACCTTAAGAGTCCGCAGCGACAGCACGCACTGACCCCTTTTATTGAGGAGAAGTTATTTAAATGAGGCAAGGGGTCAGGTTTCAGGGGGCTGAGTCTGTCTTCATGATGTCCACTGTCAGCAGGTTGACTGACACCTGGATAGGCCACACCCAAGGGCACAGTAAGAGRAGGGGACACACAYAAGGCACTTMCATGGAAGATTCTATCCTAAACAGGRCAAGGGGTYATATTACAAAGGAAYAGGTGAGCATAGCTTCACCCATGGGGCTGTAGCAAGTCACACCCATTTCTGTGACTGAGCACCTCAGCACCCAGCCAGGGAGTGTAACTCAGTCACGGGTAAGGTTGGCCTCCCACACTCTACCACTGAGCTATATTCCCAGCCCATTTTTATTCAAATATAGGGACTCACCAAGTTGCCCAAGCTAGCCTCAAATTTGCCATTCTCCTGCCTCAGGCTTCTGATTATGGGGATTACAGGCATACTGGAATGATTTTAAGGAATTGAGATTTTTTAATTGAGGAATATTTTGAGGACAGATAGTATCTTTTGGGTCCTTGTGTCTACCTTTAACAGAAATAGTTAGGAAACATTGCTGAGTGAGTGAGTGTTGTTTTACAACAGCTCAAAATTCTGTTACTTGTGCTGAGGCGACTTGGGGGGGGTGGTAGAGGTCGGAGAAATGTGAGCTTTGGCTACACATAGGCCTGGGTTCTGAGGGGGTCACAATAGGCCCCTCATTCCCATCCATAGCACTTCAAGTGGGCATCTCATTTCTTTCTGTGAGCGTCGGTTTCTTTATTAGTGAAAGAGTGTTACAACCTTGCAGGGTTTCTAGGGAGAATAATGTAAATTAAGGAATAAGTTACAGTGCATTTGGATATTCAGCAGTTTAGTAAGTGGCAGCTAGCATCATTTTTAGTGACAAGATTCTGGAAGTATTTTGCTTTTCCTCTTTTTTCCCCACGATTTAAAGCTGTGCTTTGGTTTCAGTTTTATCTCACAGGGGGGACGCAACTTGCCTATCTAGGATCTCTTCCGGTAATTGGAGAAAAGGAAGTGATTCAAGCTGATGATGAACCCACTTTCTCTTTCTTCAGTGGCCCCTACATGGTCATGACTAAGTAAGTGGAAGCTGGCTAGTGGGAAGAGTGGGCTGCATGTGACTTCCTTGTGTATGGAGGTTTAGGGATGTTGCCTGGTGGTAGAGCACCTACGTGGTGTGTGCAAGGCCCTGGATTCAGTCCCCAGTACTGCAAAATGCAAATATAGAAAGGAAGAAGGCATGTCTGAATCAGGGTTTCTCACTGTGGACTTTTGTGGTCAGATGATCCTTTGTTGTTACACAGGCAGTCTTGTGCATCATAGGATATTGAGAAGTGTTGCTGTTTTCTACCTACTAGGTGCCAGTGACAAACTCTTCTACATTTTATTTGTAACAAATAAGCTATTTGCATTTATCGCCAGATGTCATTTTGGGAGAGAACTGAGTTCTGAAAGATTATTCATTACAGTATTTCAGCCTCTCTGCTTGCTTGCTTTTTTGGCACTGGAGATTGAATTCAGGGGGTGCTCTTCTAATGAGCTATAGCCCCAGCCCTATTTACTTATTTTTTAGTTTTTTAGTTGTAGATGGACACAATACCTTTATTTATTTATATGTAGTACTGAGGATCAAACCCAGTGTCTTACATGTGCTAAGCAAGTGCTCTCCCACTGAGCTTCAACCCCAGCTCCCCATTTTATTTTTTTACTCTGAGACAGGGTCTAGCTAAGTTGCGGAAGCTGATATTGAACTTGTGATTCTCCTGCTTTAGGCTTCCAAGTTGCTGAGATTACAGTCATGCACCAACGTGCCTGGCCTTAACTTGTCTGCTTTCTAAAAAATTAGAGGCAGCTTAGTGGTAATTGTCTTGCCTCTTTTGCAAGCCAGAGGATATTAGGCTTCTGGAGAAGCTAGAACAGGTATCAGCTGAGACTGTCATCAATCAAATCTGGGTGAGGAGTATGGCAGCAACAGGTTATGACAAAAGTCCCTGGGGTATTTTCAGTCCTCAGAGGTGTAGCCCCTGCAGAGTTCCAGGGGATCCCATGGCCAAGGTCTCTGAGCTCCTTGAGCTTGGTTGCTTCTTTCTTGCTTAGAAGAAAAATTCTTTAAAAAAGGTCTCTGCCAGATTTGTAAGGCCCTCTGTCCTCTTGTTTTCCTGCCTCKGCCATGGATTTGTTGTGAAGTCCCCTCTTCTTTGACCCAAAGATAATAAAACAAAATACCCAACCTGATCAACACTCTTTCTTGAATCCTTTTGTGGTTTCTTTTTTTTTTAACCACCTCACCTAGTTCCCCAGGATGCTTTAGGACCTGGAGGTGGTGGGAATAGGGATGTCACAAAGTCTGTGTGAACTCCACTCCTGGCTGGGAAGACTCACTGATGCTGTGGCTGCTCATTCCTTCTGTTCATGCTCTCTCCTGCCCCTGTAGCCTGGTGTGGAATGGGAGCAGGGTCACAGTGAAAGAACTGAATCTCCCCACTCACCCTCACTGCAGCAGGCTGCGACTGGCTGACTTGTTGATTGCTGAGCAGGAGCACAGCAGGTGAGAAGGAGGCCTATTATAGGTCAGGCTCTGTACAGACTCAGGTTCCGTGTGTTGGGCTATCCCTGGGCTATGGAGCATTTTCTCAGCCTCAGCATTTCCTAACTGTTGGAATAATTTATTGACTTGACTTCCAAAGGCTGCCAAGAAAGAGAAAGAAATAATGAACAATCTGAGGGGTGGGAATTTTGGTGGTAAGAGACTCAATTCTGTCAGCTATTCCATAACATATGTCTCTGGATGGTCCAGCCTCTTGGCCCATCTCRTTTTCTTGCTGTAGCCCTGAAGCTACTCCATTTAAGGCCCTCTGCTCATCAGAAGAGAATGTGGCTGTCCTGTTTTCATAGATCATGGCTGTGCRTGAGATCCAGACATCTGAGAACCATACCTCTGCCATTCAGGACATGCCATGGGTTCCTTAGGTTTCCTGTGGCTCCAGGGTTAGGTCCTTCAGCTCCTGCTGGGTTAGGCTCTTGATTCATGGTTTCACACTAGGGCCACCAAGACCCTGAGCTGGACATTGAGCTCTATCCTGAATTTGCCACACAGCTGTTATAAGAGGTCTTCAGAGTCCAAGTCCTTCCTTTTGGAGAAGTCAGCTGGTGAGCTGGAAGGATTTGTAGGCATAGAGTAGGCTTTGGTGTGAGAGTGAGTGGGTTGTGTGACTTTGGGCAAGTTCCTGACATTTTTTTGACATTGGTTATCTCATTTCTAAAATGAGTATAGGAATGCATTTCTTGCATATGTGGTTCATCTTGCTCAGTAGCTCTTAGCAACATTGTCACTGTTCTCACAGATCCCACCAACAGAGACCTCTATCCCTATTTCCTTTTTTCTTTCTTTCTTTCTTTCTTTTTTTTTTTTTTTGGTACTGGAAATGGAACTCATGGATGCTCTACCACTGAGCTTCATCCCCAGCCATTTTTGTTTGTTTGTTTTAATTTTTAAACAAGGTCTGGCTAGTTGCCAGGGTTGGCCTTGACCTTKCGATCCTTCTTCTTCAGGCTAGGATTATAGGCACTATAGGCATGGGCCACTGAGCCTTTTACATATTCTGTTTCTTTGAAAAATGCTATGTACAATGGTAACTGTTTAGAATGTATTCAGAGGGTTCAGAAGAAAGGACACCATGTCCTTCTACCCTTGGACCCCTTCTGAAGCTTCTTTTTGTTTTTCAGCAAGCTGCGGCACCCTCACCTGCTACAGCTGATGGCTGTGTGCTTATCCCAGGACTTGGAGAAGACCCGGCTTGTGTATGAGCGCATCACCATTGGCACTCTGTTCAGTGTTCTCCATGAACGAGTAAATGACTTTTCCATGATTTCTGCCTAGCTGCCCTCCCCACTCCTCCTGCCCTCTCTCCCCTGCCTCAGCACAGGGTTCCCCATTTGTGCCTAGAAGATACATTTCCAAAGCCTTTTTCTTTACTGGGGCTGTGTAACATGCCATTTAAAGCTGACAGGCACATGATCAGAACTAATGTGATGCTGTTATTGTCAGTTTTGCTTTATCACTGTCTAAGAGCTTGACAGATTCAGAACAATGAACACACTTCTAGCTAACAAAGCCACTAGCTTTTTTTTCCTACATTTTTCACTTGGGCTCTATCCTGGTTTGTATAGAGGCCTCCCTTCTTGCCTCTCAGATTTCTTTGAGGTGGGGGACAGATTTCCTGGCAAGGGTGCTTTGGGCTGGCATATGGCCTCAAAAWGAGCTCATGGAGGGTTTCTCTTTCTCCATGATTTGTTCTAAAGACCAAGTCTTTAGAACTGGGTAGGGATAAAGAGAGACCCTCCAAAAAGGATCCTTTTCCCACATGGCCTGCTAGTCCTCCTGCCTGAGGACCTCCTAATCTTTCTGTTTTTCATTTTCTTTCCCTGACTGAGGGCATCACCTTAAAATGCTGTTTCTCTGGAGGAAAAGCATCACTTGGGTACATTGATGAGAGTAAATTTCTATCCTCTTAGGGTGATCATTCTGGTTCATCTGACTGGTATAGGATCTGGACTGCTTACCTGCATATTGTGGGGTCCTTTGAGCTTCTAGATTCTCTCAAGAGCATAGGCTTGGACAGAGAGGGGCCCAGGACATGTTTACTGGTAGTAGTGGAGGAACTTCCCCCGAAAGTCTCCCCAAGGTTGACCCTGCAGGTGTATACGAGGCTTTGAGAACTTTCAGCTTAGCTGAAGGAATCTAGGTTTAGAGCTAGGGGGCCTGGATCAGTAGGACTTCAGGCCAGTCACCTAACCTCACTGAACTTAGGTTCTCCACCTATACATTGGGATACCAGATGGCTATAAAAATCAAATGAAAAAACTTTGGAAATTACAAAGGATCCTACAGTGTCAGTGAGCCTTTCCCTTTTGTCCCTGGTACTTTTATCTCTCACTTGCAGCGGTCCCAGTTCCCAGTGCTGCACATGGAGGTGATTGTGCCCTTACTGCTCCAGATCGCTGATGCCCTGAGATACCTGCATTCTCGAGGGTTTGTCCACCGCTCCCTCAGTTCCTACGCTGTCCACATCGTCTCCACAGGGGAAGCAAGACTGACGAACCTGGAGTACATGATGGAAAGGTGGGTTACAACCTCAAATGTGGCTTTCTTCTGAAGAGGGTCTCCCTGGGGACCTTTTCTGTAGAGATAGAATATGACCTGGGCAGGTTTCTTCATTGATGGGCAGAATTTTGCATCGGTGGTAGAAGAGATTTTCCAAATGGCTTGTCTTGTCTGCCAAGCCTGCAGAGACTTTAGAGAACTTACTTCTGCTCAGGACATTCTCATTTTAGTAAACATGTAACAAGAGCCCATGTTAGCCATGGTGTGTAAAGCCTCTAACTACCCACTCCAAAATTTTCAGTGGCTTAGCACAACTGAGGTGTATGTCTTACCTTGCAATCTAGCATGTGCATTGAAGTGGGCACTGTTATGTGTTCGTCCCATGAGTAGCTCTGCGTTCTGAGGCAGTAAGTGCATAATCACCTCCATGTGCAGCACTGGGAACTGGGGCTGCTGCAAGTAWGATAAAGTGCCAAGATGGAAAGGGAAAGGACTCGCCTCAGTCCTCTATTGCATTCTTTGCATTGCTGACCAGGGAGCAAGAGTGAGCAGCCTAAAATGGACATGTCACAATATCCCAATTTGCCATGGACAGAGCCCAGGCACTTTCTTACTACATGGAGGCTGGGAAACATGCCCAAGCTGTAGGTGAGAGAAGATGGTAGGTGCCAGCGAGCTTTTTGGTCTAACATATCTCCTACATGGATACTAAAGTCATTCCCTGACTTCAGGATCTCAGAACAATGAGAGGTACTCTTACACCCTCATTAAAGGGCTGGTGCATGAGCTTAGTTTGCTGTTGGGCTGGAGTCAAAGGCTGCCTGRGTGTTGGGGGCAGACTCCATGTTCTACCCAAGACTTTAGGAGGAAGAGGATCTTTTCTACACTTCTTTGCTGCCATCCACAACTTTGAGCCTTTGGCCCAGTGTTGGTTTTGCTCTGCTGAGAAGCCTCAGCCACTTGCTCAGCCAGTAAGCCTTACTTAGGTCCCCTACCATCTCTTATCCATGTTTCCCATCCATCCTTCTCTCTTGCTTTGTTTCTGAATCTCTCAACAGGTCTTTGCTTCTCACGTACTCTGTAATTTATTTCTTCCATGAGATGCAAAGCTCCATGAGGGCAGGGATTGTTTTATTCACTGCTGTATCCCAGGTACCTAGAATAGGCCTTCACACAGTGGGCATGCAGCCTATTTTTAAAAATTAATTATTTTTTTTAATGTGGTGCTGAGGATCAAACCCAGTGCCTCACATATGCTAGGCAAGCACTGCACCACTGAGCTGCACCCCAGTCCACGGCCTGTGTTTTTTGAGTGAATGAAACTGAAAGATTTTCACATCCCTAGACTTGCCCTTAAGTCTGTAGAAGAGAGCAGGAGCTAGATTTTGCTTGGTCTTATGGGCCTCATCAAGGAGTCTGACTTTAAACCTAAGCCACTGGGATGCTCTGGAAGGAGTTTTTTTTTTTTTTTTAACATTGTGGTGAAGTGGGTGATTTATAAGTTAAGATTGCTCTTCTTCTTGTGTGTGAAGGGACTCTGAGGGAGCAAGAAAGATGCAGGAGAGTAGTGAGGATGTGCCCAGAGCTGTTGTAGTTTCTTTGTGGGAGCAGGCAGAGGCAAGATGACTATCATCAGCCAAGCTGCTAAGCCTCAGAATATTTATTCTCAGTCTCAGTTAAAACCTTTYAGGGGGATGAGGCTGTGGCTCAGTGGTAGAGAGCTTGCCTAGCACATGTGAGTCRTTGGGTTCAATCCTCAGCACCACATAAAAATAAAGGCATTGTGTCCATATACAACTAAAAATACACACACACACACACATACTTGAAAAAAAAAACTTTCAGGGAAGGTATGGGGGTGGAGTTCAGTGGTAGAATGCTTGTCTAATATATGTGAGGCCCTGGGTTCAATCTCCATCACCAAAAAACAACAAAATCAGCAAACAAATAACTTTTGTTGTTGTCTGCAAGATCAAGTCAGACACCTTTGCAAGGTGCAGAAGCCATCCTAGGTGGGACTTTACCTGTAGTGTCAGCTTTATCCCTTCCCACTCCTACTTGCCATTTGAAACCACTTTCATTCTATTCTGTTGGAGTGCTGTTCCCCCATCTGGAATACCTGCTCATGTTGACTTCTTTTATTTTTGTTTTCATATTTTATTTTTATTTTTTTTACCATATGATTTATTTTAATTTTTTTTAGTCATACATGACAGCAGAATTCATGTTGACTTCTTTTAAATTCACTTCAGTACATCCCCTGAAGCTGCATCAATACCCTTATTCCYGAGGTACTTTTCACATCCATTTTCTCACATGCACTTCTACTTAGTGTGTAAGCCCTACTAGGTAGTGAATTCCCAGGRAGCAGAATGACTTGTTTATCACTATCTTCAGCAACCACATAATATATGCTCAGTCAAGTCATGGTTAAATGATTAGATGAAATCTAGCTAAAGGAAAAATGGTCCACAGAAGGTCCAAAGTTGACCACTTTGGCTGTGAATTCCAGACCAGTGGGAACTGAGGAGTTTGGACTTTTTTGTTGTTAATAACACCACCAGAAACTTTTCAGGAAAGCTGACAAGATTCAAACTATTGGTCAATGATGGAGCACCATCTGTTGTTGAAAAGGAGGAATAACACTTCCTTCTGCTTTTGCTGTCCCATAGAAATGTGAATCCTAAAGTGATGGTTTGTCTGGGCATGTTCCCCACCCCTCCTCCAGTGCTGCAATCCCAGGCCCTTAGCATGCTAAGCAAGGGCTCTACCACTGAGCTACACTCTCAGGCCATCCTTGTCCTTTTATATATGAGGCCCGAAGAGGTTAAAGGATGGTGGGAAGTTACTCGGTTGGTTGGTTAGAGTATAATTAGATCTAGAGCCAGGTGGGAGAATATACCTCTAGGCCACAGAGGCAGTATGGATTGGGAGATTGAGTACAAGATCAGCTAGGAGGCCATAGGGTGGAGCCAGTGGATCAAAAATGCAAAGAAAGATGGGATCAACTGTCCAGATGGTAGGGTCAATGGCTATGGCAAGAAAGTATAGATTCTCATTTGGGTTTATTGAGCTCAGGATTTTTCTTTTCTTTTTTTTTTTTTTTTTGTGCTGGGGATCGAACCCTGGTCGTTGTACTTGTGAGGCAAGCACTCTACCAACTGAGCTATATCCCCAGCCCGAGCTCAGAATTTTAGGCAGAAATGTTAATTGTAGTCACAACTATAACAATGTACCCTTTTTTGAAAGTTGATAATGTGAGTTGGTTATCCAAGAATCAAAAAAAAAAACTGTCAATTTCACGTTTATTTTTGGTAACACTCTACTTGGGCATATTAGTTTGTTGAATGTAATTGTCAAGGGTCAGCACTCTCTCTTGATGTAAAAGTGATAACAGCAGTGTTTCCTACTCCTCAGCTTTTTCTTCTTCTTTTTTTTTTTTTTTTTTTTAGAAAGGAAAGACAAGAAAGGGTGGAAATGCAGAATTAATTTTTTTAAAGAGAGAGAGAGAGAATTTTAATATTTATTTTTTAGTTTTAGGCGGACACAACATCTTTGTTTGTATGTGGTGCTGAGGATCGAACCCGGGCCGCATGCATGCCAGGCGAGTGCGATACCGCTTGAGCCACATCCCCAGCCCCCTCAGCTTTTTCTTAATGGAATCTTTAGAGGTTTTTTTTGCAAGTGGTGTCACATACCTGAGGCCAAATGTAATTTTAATGATGTCAAAGCTAAAGCTCAGACAAATAACTTTACCACCATGACAGCCAGAAAAGAAGATCCCCACACAGATGGCTTTAACAGAGAAGGAAGAAAGGATTGTAAGAGAGGAAGGTGAAAGAAAATAAGAAACCTGGATTATAAATTACTTGTCCCTTGCCAAAGCTTTAGACACCCTTGAGAGAGGTGGGTATTTCCCTCTTAGAATTCCCTTCCAACTTGAAGAGTCGTGTATGCTGCTGCTTCATCTCCAATTCTGACAATACAACATTCCTTTGCTTTTCTGGGGGCTCAGTGATTGAGCATATATAAAGCCCTGGGATTGATCCCCAGCACAGCAAAAACAAAACAAAACAAAACAAATTGCCTTTTCTGTGATATTAATATAACCTGTATTAATTTATTGTATAATTGTGTAATGATTATGCAAACACATTAAATTTATACATTAAAGATGTACACTTATATATTAAGCATGTATTTAAATATCAAATATGCAAGTGTGTACATATCCATACTGCTCACACTACACAAAGCCACATCTACTATTCAGCAATATATCCAAAAATTTAGTACCACGTATTATAACTTCATGGTTTCTTGGGGATGAGGCTCAGTGGTAGAGTGCTTGCCTAGTGTGCACAAAATACATTCAATACCTCATAACCATACCCTTGTCCTCCCCTGCCAAAAAAACCCAAAACTCTGCTGAAAGAAATGTTATTTAGGTATTTAGGGAAGTTTACCCAAAGTTTGAAATGGTCATCCTTATGCCAGACCAGGAAAGAACTTACTGTCTCTTGCTTTTGTTTTGCTGTAGTGAAAACTGCAGACCTTGTGCATTTTAGGCAAGTGCTCTACCACTGAACTATATTCCCAGCTTTTTTTTTTTTTTTTTTTTTAATTTGGAGACAGAACCTTGCTAAGTTGCTGAGGTTGGCCTCAAACTTGTGATACTTCTGCCAAAGTCTCCCAAGTTGCTGGGATTACAGGTGTGTGCCACCATGCATGCTAATAAGGTACCTACTCTCAAGGAATTGACTCCAATGGAGAGGAGGCAAATAGTAAACTAAAAAAAATGAACAAAAAAAAATTCAGATAACAAGTGTCCTGAAGCTAATAAAACAGGACTATTTTAGAGTAGGTAATCAGAAAGGCCTCCCAGAGGAGGTGACTTTCAACTAATACTTTAGTTACAATTTGCTCTAGGATCCTTGGACAGAGCATACCAGACAGAAGAAAACACCTGTGCAAAGACTTGAAGTGGTAATGTGGTTGGCATGTTGGAGTAGCTCAAAGAAGGTCCCTGTGACTTGAGTGGAGTGAGTGGGAGAATATTCTGATGAGGTTGGGGGTGGGCAGGAATCACCAAGTATTTCGGGTGTTTGAACAGCTCCATCCAGGGCAGTGGGGGTTAGCTCAGGATCTGGCTTCATTTCCAGAAGCTTAAAGAAGTTGCCGGTTTTCACAAATATCTCATCAGTGCACTGTGTGGTTATCACAAAGACCCTTTAAGACATGAGCCCTGCCTTGTGTGTTTCCTTCTGTAGCCAGGACAGTGGTATACACAGGGACCTGACTCGAGTACCCCTCCCCACTCAGCTGTACAATTGGGCCGCTCCGGAGGTGATCTTACAGAAGGCGGCCACAGTGAAGTCAGATGTCTACAGCTTTTCCATGATCATACAAGAGATTTTAACAGGTGATCAAGGAGCATGTTAATGTTGTTTTAATCCTTATTTTCAGGTTGGGTTCCCCCACTTGGGAGTTATTTAGTTTTATGAAAATGTACAACTTAGAAAAATATTTTTCTTTTATTTATTTTTTGGTACTAGGGATTGAACCAGGGACAGTTTCCCACTGAGCTGCATCCCCAGACCTTTTAATTTTTTAAATTTTGACACAGGGTCTTGCTAAGTTGATAAGGGTTTCAGTAAGTTGCTAAGGCAGGTCTCAAACTTGCTATCTTCCTGCCTCAGCCTCCTGAGTCGCTGGGATTACAGGTTTGCACCACTGCACTTGACAGATTCGTTAAGGAAACTTATCTGTGTTTATGGAAGATGCAAGATGGTCTCCCAGAAACCTTTCTCTTTTAACTGTTCTTTAAGATTCAGCAAAGCTTTTTCGCCTGCTCGTTCATGATAATGCATTTAATCCAAGCAAAGGTTTTTCTTTTTCTGTAGTGCTAGGGATTGAACCCAGGGTCTTATGAATGCTAGGCAAATGCTTTACCACTAATCTACATCCCTAGCCCCCAAGCAAAAATTTTAAACTAAGTTTTTTTAAAAAATATATTTATTTTTTTTATTGGTTGTTCACAACATTACAAAGCTCTTGACATATCATATTTTTAAACTAAGTTTTGATGTCAGTACTTTTGAATCTCTGATGTGCCTCTTAAGGATTGATAAATGAGGGGAAGACTGGCTTCTGAGAAGTAAATATAAAATTAGGCATACCCAGGGTTCAGTAGATATATAACCAGTGAATGAAATAGAAACCCTTTCAATCCTACAAGAGTATAATGTGAAGTAGTCACATATCAGAAGATATRAGGACTCCTTCAAAAGAGGAACACACACACACAGAGTATTCACTGAGGGAATACCAAGAGTTAGGAACCTTTCGTGGTATTTGCAGTCCCACAGGTAAAACCATGACCTTCAATGAGATAAATGTATTGGGCTGTCCAGTCTAATGCCATGAAACTTTCTTTGGTCCCCAAGTCTGTCAGTGAGGAACCAATGTGTACATGATGCTGACACTATTACTCTCTGTCTAAATGTCAGGGATTTCCCTGGTAAGTGAGTAGTTTTTTGTTTGTGATTGGGCTTCTAAGTAGTTTTTCTACAGAAAGAAGTGAATGTTTAAAGAGGTTGGGTGACTTGACTAAGGTTATACAACTTCAATTTATTTCTTAATGTTACCTATGACTTTTTCCTTACAGACAACATACCCTGGAATGGCTTAGACGGCTCAGTTATTAAAGAAGCTGTAGTCTTGGGAAATTRTTTAGAGGCTGATGTCAGGCTTCCAAAACCTTACTATGATATTGTTAAATCAGGCATCCAGGTCAAGCAGAAAGACCGAACTATGAACCTTCAAGATATCCGGTATATTCTGAAGAATGACTTAAAGGCAAGCCCTAAATTTGTTGGGAGTTTATTTTTGCTTACCCAACTCAGGAGAATAGGGAGAAACTAGAGATGAATTGTAGGAAGTTTTGGAAATCTTCATTTTATTATACTCTTCCTGTGTTTCTGAGAAAAGCCTAACAGCTTAACCTGGTGAGGACAGCAGCAAATTGAGGAAGAGAGTGGGTCCCGGGGTTGGGGAGGTGGAGGTCAATGCATCACAGAGGCACACTATAAGCACATAGCAGAGATTCAATGAATAGCAGTTATTATTGCTTTCAAGGTTTTGGAATAACAATAAATTGGCTAATGAGAACTGTAGTTAAGTCAACCCAACACAAGTAAGAGGGAGTTTATCCGTTACCTATTTTGGTTTCTGAAATATCAGTGACATTCAGATGACTGCAGATAATGTCCTTGACAATATTTCCGGTGTTAATAGGAATTTATTGGAGCCCAAAGAACTCAGCTAACTAAGAGCCCCAGGGCACAGAGATATGAACCCCATCCTGATGTCAGTGTCTATCTAGGATTGACTTCAGAACATCCAAAAGCAACCTCAGACTTGGAAATCAAAGAGCTAAAGGAAACAGGTATGGCCTAATTCACAGCTTGAATATTATTTTTGACACCAGTGTGTTTTGAGAGTCACATGAATGGTAACTAATTGATTCCTCAAACTGCACATGTAATCCATGCTGGAAAAAGATGGATTCCTTAGGTTTAGGGAGGTTGTGACTTGCTCAGGGTTACAGAARTTATTGTAGAACCTAGGCCTTCTAATTCCAAAGTCAGTTGAATTCTCTTGACAGGACTGGAGACCTTTAGAGTGGCCCCTCAAATTCTCATTATTTCTGTTCTTCATTCCACTTACTTCAAGCTTACAACAAGGATGATATGCAGTCAGCTCTAGCATTATTTTTTGGAGTTGAGTTGTTTTTTGGAGTTATTTATCCTTCCCATGAGAACCATGTCTCAACTGCTTTTTATTAGATGCTCACCAAGAGCATAATTCTAGCAGGGTGTGGTGGCATGTGTCTGTAATCCCAGTAATCAGAAAGCTGAGACAGGAGGATTGCTTGAGATCAAGGAGTTCTAAGATAATGTGGGTGATATACTGAGACCTCGTCTCAAAAAAAAAGTACCAAGCATATAGCTCTGACTCACATAAATAGTCACATGCTTTTGTATATAAAGAAAGCTGAAGCCAGGTGCTGTGGCACATGCCCATAATCCCAGTGGCTATGGAGCCTGAGGCAGGGGGATCATGAATTCAAAGCCAGCCTCAGTAATTTAGCATGACCCTATCTATAAATAAAACATAAATAAAATGATAAAGGCTGGGTATGTTGGCAAAAGGATCACAGGTTCAAAGCCAGCCTCAGCAACAGCTAGGTGCTAAGCAACTAAGTGAGACCCTGTCTCTAAATAAAATACAGAATAGAGCTAGCGATGTGACTCAGTGGTCAAGTGCCCCTGAGTTCAATCCCTGGTACCAATATATATATATATATATATATATAGTGTTAGGGATTTGGCTCGGTGGTTAAGCACCTTTGGTTTGCTCAGTCCCTGGTACCAAAAAAAAAAAAAAAAGAAAGAAAGAAAGAAGGTTTAGTATAGTCCTTGTAATCCAGGGGTGTATAATTTTGTATTTCTTGACATTTAAACACATTTTATTTTGTTTCTGATTCTGGCGATATAGCCCAGGGGTGCTTTACCATTTATCTACATTCCCAACACTTTTTATTTTCTATTTGGAGACAGATCCTTACCAAGTTTCTGAAATTGACCTTGAATTTGTGATCCTCCTGCCTCAGTCTCCCAAGCTGATATGATAGGTCTGTACTACTGTACCCAGCCAGTTAAACACATTTTGAGCACATTATAAATGAAGTTCGGAACATTTCTCTTAGGATTTGGCATCCCATCCTTATCCCTTTTTATTTATTTATTTATTTATGAGATAGTGTCTTGCTAAGTTGCTTATGGCCTTGCTAAATTGCTAAAGTGGGCTTTGAACTTACAATCCTCCTGCCTCAGCCTGCAAAGCCACTAGAATTATAGGCATGTGCTACTATGCCTGGTTCATTTCTATATTCTTATGCCTCTTAAGCAATAGCTAAGTCTTGGTACAAAGGATTGAACTCAGGAGTGCTCTACCACTGAACTATATTTCCAGCCCTTTATTGAGAAAGAGTTTTACTGAAGTGCTCAGCAGCCCTCAAACTTGGTGATCATCCTGTTTTAGCTTCTGGATTAGCTGGGATTACAGGCGTACATCATCACACCTGGATGAATGTGATCCCTTTAATCAGATGTATATTACTCCTCTTTTTCACAGGTAGTCAGCCACATTCACCAAGGRGTCACTTTTCTCCCACCGCAAAGGTAACATTAGCTCCTCAGATCCCTGATTCAAGTCTGATGGCCCAGGAATCTCAGAATCCAGGTACTCCTTTTCCAGCCCCTCCATTTATGGCAGAAGAGATCCACAACCCCCGAACAAGTCAGGAAAGTCTCTGTAGCTTTGAAATCAATGAGATCTACTCAGGCTGTTTACATTTGGGGGATGACAGAGAGGAGGAGCACCCAGGAACTGCTTCATCTCTTGAGGGGTATAGACCAAACCTGGTAGGTGAACTGCAGTCTATGGAAGAAGAGTTAGAGAAGATGGAGAGAGAGGCTTACTTTTGTGATGAAGATGAGAGCTCTTCAGAAGTTGACACAGAGCTCTCCTTTGGGTACTGGCAAAATGGTTCACTTGCTTCACTCAGCCTACCTGAGCCAACCAGAGAAGCCAAGGGCAAAGTGAGCAGCAGGTCCATGACTGAGGAGTACATCAGTAAGTGTGTGCTGAATCTGAAGATTTCACAGACGTTAATGCACCAGAATGCTGATTTGCTGAGGAACACCCAGCAGAAAATAGATGAACTTGAGTTGTTAGAGAATGAGCAGGAAACATGCAGGTCTTTATGGGCTACTTCAAGAGAGTTTTCAGACACCTATGACTCACCTTCAGCCCTGGGCCCCCCAGCTTTGAGTTATATTCCTCCTGTCATGCAGCTCTCATGGAGTCCCAAGTCAGACACCAGTGGCAATTGCCCAACCCTGGCAAGGTCTCCAAGAACAGTGAAAGGCTTTGAAGGGGGACATTTGGGCAAAAAACCCAAGAAAAGAAGTGACTGTGGCTGGCAGTCTTTCACCCAAGTATCTGAAGAAAGCACTGGGGAACAGCCAGAGACCAGCCAACAGGTAAATCAGAGTGGGAGGAAGGGTCAGCCTRAGATCCAGGATCAACTTTGCCCCTGACTTATGTGCAGGAAATGACATATAAAAGCACCAACTAGTAGAGGCTTTATTTCAGGTGGAATTACAGGTGTGCGCCTCCATGCCCAGTTTCCCAGCCCTTTTAAAATGTTTTATTTTGAGGGCTGGGGATGTGGCTCAAGCAGTAGCGCGCTCGCCTGGCATGCGTGCGGCCTGGGTTCAATCCTCAGCACCACATACAAACGAAGATGTTGTGTCCGCCGAGAACCAAGAAAAAATAAATAAATGTTAAAACTCTCTCTCTCTCTCTCTCTCTCTGTCCCCCTCTCTCACTCTCTCTTTAAAAAAAAATGTTTTATTTTGAGACAGTATCTTGCTAAGTTGTTGGGTCTCGCTAGGTTGCTGAGGTTGGCTTGAACTTGCAATCCTTCTGCCTCAGCCTCCTAAGTCCCTGGAATTACAGGTGTATACTACCATGCTCATCCTTTGTGACCACTTTTGATGTCTCCTCTCACTTTTATGTGTCTTGCTGCCATCTCCAACTCCCACTTTTGTTGCTTTGATTTTCAGTAAGCTAGGAAATTAAGTTTGTGAAGATTATGCTAAAGTTTGGAAAAGCAGATCCAAAAATCTCTCCTTTAAAAATTTTTTTTTCATTTGTTGATGGACCTTTATTTATTTATATGTGGTACTGAGAATTGAACCCAGTGCCTCAACATATGCTAGGCAAGCACTCTACCACTGAGCTACAATCCCAGCCTCYAAAATCTCTCTTTTGAATGAAGGACATAAACTTTGTTTCTTCTGCTACTTCCAWAGTATCATAGCCTTTATTTTTAATTTCATAAGATCCCCACTGGTAGGAATTAATGGTCCCTGTTTTATGGATGAGGAAACTGAAGTACAGGATTCTCTCAGATTAGTCTTGAGTGAAGCTTGGATTAATGCCCAAGCCCAGGGTTGCTACCACAAAGGTCTGCTGCCTTCATGAGCAGACAAAATAGAAATTAAAAATACACTTTACTGGGCTGGGGTTGTAGCTAAGTGGTAGAGTGCTCGCCTAGCATGCACAAGGCACTGGTTCGATCCTGAGCACTACATAAATGTAAAATAAAGATATTGTGTCCACCTAAAATTTAAAAATAAATAAATATTTTWAAAAATACACTTTACTGCTGGATTACATGGCACACGCATGTAATCCCAGGGGCTCAGGAGGCTGAGGCAGAGGATCACAAGTTCAAAGCCAGCCTCAGCAAAAGTGAGGCACTAAGCAACTGTCTCTAAGTAAAATACAAAATAGGGCTGGGATATGGCTCTGTGGTTGAGGTTCAATCCCCACCTCCCCCCTGCCCGCAAAAAAAAAAAAAAAATCACTTTCCTGAGCATTTTCCATTTGTATTCGGTATGGACTGGGTTCTTGGAGTCCAACATTTCTAGATAAAGTCCTCCAACTAAGAGAAAGATTACTAGATAAGAAACACAGAAAAAAAATCATCATGGTGGGTCTGGTAATTTCTACACATTTAGCAAGAATGGCTTTGAATGGTGGTGAAAGCGAAGAGAATTCCCTCATCAAAGCACTGAAATATATATTTATTGCTTTGTAAGCTGCCAACTGTTTGTGGCCCTGGAAAACAGAACATTGATGAGCAATCTCAGACCACTCAAGGAGCCAAGAACAGTTTGGAAAGAAGCAGGAACCAAAATAGTAGGTGGGTCAATATTTTATTTTTCTTTGTGTCACTATGTCTTTAGATTCATGTGGCCTTTGAGGCCACTTAATGATCTTCATATTTTTAGTGACAARGAGATTGTGAGTAATGAAGAAGAGTAATTCAAAAACATATTTTGGTATGTTCTCTCTACCAAGAGAGTTTAAAGAGTAGCATAATGGAAACTTACAGGATATATCACAGGCAAAGTGGCTGGCAAGTTAATCAGAACTCATCAGTTGTCAAAAGCAAAGCATCAGTCTCAACAGCTTATCAAGGCTCTAAGCAACACAGTGAGACCCTGTCTCTAAATAAAATACAAAAAAGGGCTGGGGATGTGGCTCAGTGGTAGAGCACCTCTGAATAATTTCCCCATGCCAAAGAAAGAGAAAGAGAGAAAGAAAGAAATGGCAGATATTTCACTCACCAGTGCTTCAGAAATCAAACTAATCAGAAAACTGCATTGTTGGTTGTTTAAAGTATGTGTTGCTAAACATCACTGTTACCCTGGGGTGTCTGATCTGAAGCCATATCAATGAATTGGTTGGATATTTTTTTTTTTTTGGAACTAGARAAGTGAACACAGGATTTCACACAWGTGAAGCAAACACTTTACCATTGAGCTACATTCCAGCCCAATGAAGTGAATTGGCTTTCTCACAGATAATTCGTAGGAGAATATATAAGGGGTATTATTATTTTTTACTATTAGTTGTTGTTTTGCAGTACTGGGAATTGAACCAGGGATACTCTACTGCTGAGCTATATTCCCAGCTCCCTAACCTGCCTCCTTTTTTTTTTTTTTTTTTTGAGACAGGTCTCACTAAGTTGCCCAGTCTGGCTTCAGTCTTAATCCTCTGGCCTCAGTCTCCTGAGTTACTGGAATAATAGGCACATATAGGGAATTACTAGAGAAGAAATAAATATGTTTTCTTTTTGTGTGTATGGTGCTGGGACCTCACACTTTCTAGGAAATTGCCCTCCCACTGCACTAAACCCTTATCCCCACATGTGTTTGTTTTTATAATTTTTAAACTAAAAAGAAATTGACAGATAACACTGTTACCATATACAGCATAATTTGTGTGATTGGGGGAGGGGGGCTGGAAATTGGACCCAAGGCCTTATGCCTGCTATGAAAGCACTTTACTTTTGAGCTACATCCCTAGCCCCAACATGCTGTTTTGAGGTATATATTCATTGTAGAATGGTTAAATCTAGGTAATTATCAATTAAATTCCTCACATAACTTATCATTTTTGTGGTAAGAGCACATAATGTTCCTATTATACTCTCCCATTATACATTTTTGAAGAATATATCATCATTAACTGTAGTTATCCTGCTATACAACAGATCTCTCTCTTTTTTTTTTTTTTTTTTTGTACTGGGGATTAAGCCCAGGGTATTCCACTAGTAAGCTGCATCTCCAGCCCTTTTTATTTTGTACTTCGAGATAGGATCTCTCTGAGTTTCTCAAACTACCTTTGAACTTCTAATCCTCTTGCCTCACTCTCCCAAGTAGCAGGGATCATAGGTATTTGCCACCATGCCCAGTAAATCTCCTATAATTTATTTCTTCCATAAAACTATAATTATATATCTTTTGGCCAACCATTTCCCCCCCCCCCCTTTACCTCTAACAGCCCCAATCTCTGGTAACCACCATTTTACGCATTCTACTACTTCTATGAGATCAATTTCATTCATTTATTTATTTACTTATTTATTTTTACTACTGAGAATTGAATCCAGGGCCTCACATGTGCTGGGCAAGTGCTCTACCACTGAGGTATACCCCAGCCCTTTTTAAAATGTGAAAAAAATTTGAGACAGTATGTTGCACAGGTTGGTCTTCAATTTGTAGTCCTCCTTCCTCAGACCTCCCTAGAAGCTGGGAGTGTACCAGGTGTGCACTACAGCACCTCGATGTTTTTAAAAATGGTAAACTTGTTTTTGAAATTGTTGGTTATCCCCCATTGTAGATTTTTAGGTTGTTTAATATTTTTTATGTAGGAACAAGGACACAGTGACTTGCAAATAAATTTTTTTTCTGCATTTTGGATTATGTCCTCAGGATAGATTTCCAGAAGCAGAACTACTAGGTCAAAGAGTTTGAATATTTTGAAGATTCTTGATAGTTGTTGCCAAAAAGTTCTTTAAATAAGCTGATCAGAGCTGATTTCTCCACCTTCTGGTCTACCTGGAGTGTATACATTCTGGACAATGGGGAATTTAGATCACACATTTTTGAAGTTAGATTAATAGATGATAAAATGTATACAGTCATTTTGCATATTAGGAAGTTTCATCTAGAGAGACCGACATTGGCCAGTCTGACAACTGACCCAGCAAAGTCAGTGTCCAGAACTTGGTGAGACTAAACTGAGGGTGTTGGATTCTTCTTCGGGATCTTTGCAAATGTTGTTGGTTGTGCTATCACTGATGTAGAGATGGGCCTGTTACTGAAGAATTCTGTGGAAGGGTAGAAGTAGAACTGTTACCTGGGCTATCACCTATGGTTATATGAGGGGTGGATGGACTCTGTGTGGTGAAATTGTTTTAATTGTGGGTTTCTTCTGTTTCTGAAAATTACCCAAGAGCATTTTTAGAATCATGAAATCTGTACTTGGAAACTGAAAAAAAATTTAGAGATCTTCTAGCCCAATCCTTTCATTTTCCAGCCAGGGAAGGCCTAGAGATACCAGTGAGCGAGCCCAAGTCACACAGCTAAGTAGTATACTCTTTCCGGAGTCAAGCCACTCAAAAAGACCTGCTGGGTCACCCAGCCTTCACCAGGGCTTTGCAAGGTAAGGAACCTTGCAGTCTGAACTCTGGGAGTCCTGTGCCCTCTGGTGGTAATAAGGAGTCGGTGCTGTTTTAGGAATAGCTGCTGAAGTAGGGGACAGGTCTGAGTAGACTAGTGGGCTTTGAGTTTTGTTAAGAACTTGAACAAATGTTTTTGTGTCCACCCTTTTCCCATTCCCTCCCTCCTAATTTAGGACCAGTGTAGAAGGTGTGTCTTCTGAAATCTATAATACAAAGTCAAGAAATAATGAAGATGATGGAGAGATACACATAAAATGGAAAAGTAAGTATGAATTCATGGGTTTTGTTAGGCAAAATGAAATTTTAAATATATTTCTCATCTTACTGATATTTCTAAGTACACAGGCTGTATTTCACTATTTCAAGCCACAGCAAAGTCCTCCCATATTTTTCTTCTGAGATCTTTCCATTTTAAAAGCAAGACCCTTCTGGCTACAGAATATCAAAGGGAAATGATTTTTTATTTTTAGATTTTGTAGGAAATATTTATATGTATATAAATGTGTATAAGTTAACATGTGTAATAAAACAATATACAATATGTATATTTAATATGTAAACACCCTTGAAATGAAGATCATATAGTGTTGCTCTCACACATCCAGTACATTATCCTTCTGGAAACCAGTTTTAAAAGGATATGTCTGGGTTTCTTTTGATTTTTTGCTTTAAATATTTATTTTTTAGTTGTGGTTGTACACAATACCTTTATTTTATTTATTTATTTTTATGTGGTGCTGAGGATCAAACCYAGGGCCTCGAACATGCTAAGTGAGCACTCTACTGCTAAGCCAGAACCCCAGCCCCCCCATATGCCTGTTTTTTTAATACTAGTACTAAGTGACATGAACAGAAGTGTAGAACATTTGAAATGAAAACACATATAATYTCACTATAGTCTACAAAGGCTAAACAAACTCAAATAGAATCCTTTTCATTAATTACTATGGGCTGGGAATTTCAGATGTCATTTTTCTTGTTAAATTAGTAGGAGGGTCCATTTACAAGTTTTCTGTTGCCATCTACTCTGGAATTCAACAACAAGGGTGTTGTTTAGGCTAACCAACTGAAATTCCCTTCCCTTGCTCTGTCATTTGTTTTCCCTTTAAGCCAAACAGGGCAAGAGAAGATAATAACTGTAGAAAGGCAATCATTATTACAATATGAGCTATAGTAGTATTATACATTAAAGATGAAGGCTTTTATTTACAATGTTCATAGTGATGTTTTAAATACTGGTTTCTTTTGTGCCCAGTGGAAGTGAAAGAAATGGCAGAGAAAGCAGCTACTGGGCAGCTCACAGTACCTCCTTGGCATCCTCAAAGTACTTTGACTTTAAACAGTGAAGCTGAAAATCAGCTTGCTCCTTTGATGCAGCCCCCTGTTAAGGGCCCTCAAAACATGGACTGGAAGCAAGTTGTAGTGTATCACAGAGAAAATGATGAGCCAGGAGGAAATGTCAAATTTGGAAAAATGGACAGTAGTGGCTGTGACAGTGACAAGCACAGCAAACAGCCTGAGCCTCAAAGATTCACCAGTAAGTTTGGTTGGGGGAATTGTGTTAGGTGAACTCTATCAAGTTATCTGCTCTCAGAAATAAGTAAACCTGGCATATTTCCTTTGATTCATACTCTTTCCTTTCTTACCTTTCTGGGAAACTTGAATTCCAAAGAAAAGCAGCAGACCCCTTATACGGTACTGTGCTTCACACAAAGCTATCCAGAGATTCATAAGTTTTTTTTTTTTTTTTTGTACTAGGGATCCCCAGACCTTTTTATTTTTGAGACAAGGTTTCACTAAGTTGCTTAGGGCCTCACTAARTTGCTGTGGCTGGCCTTTAACTGCCTCAGCCTTCTAAGCCTCTGGGATTAGAGGCGTGAGCCGCTGAGCCTGGTTCTTAAGTTTTTCTATTACTGAAACAAGATTCCTTTGTCCAAAGGAAGTAAAATAATCTTCATTTACTGACTCTGGTCCTGGAGGTAATCTAGCAAGTAACTGAACCTTCCTTACCTGAGGGAGGAGGTAGACCACGGCTTCCTACTGTTCATTTCTTTGCTTTTTTGGGGGGAGGGTACTGGGGATTGAACCCAGAGGTGCTATACTGAGCTACATTCCCAGCTCTTTTTTATTTTTATTTTTTTATTTTGAGATGGTCTTGCTGAGTTGCATAGGGCCTTGCTAAATTGCTGAGACTGGCTTTGAACCTTCTATTTTCCTGCCTCAACCTCCCAAATTGCCAAGATTACAGGTGTGTGCTATTATGCCCAGCCTTTGTCTTTTATTCTAAGCTAGAAATAAATCCAGAGGAACCTAGCAATAAGCAACATTTACTGTCATTAGTTAATAGATTTACAGGTTAAAAATGATAACTGTATTTCCACTTGGTAATCTGCTTACAATCAGGACATGAGATATTATTTCACAGTTGTGAGTTAAAAACACCTGAAATTACCATTGCTGGACACAGTGGCACATAACTGTAATTCCAGCAGTTCGGGAGACTGAGGCAGGAGGATTGCAAGTTTGAGACCAGCCTCAGCAATGTAGCGAGGCCCTAAAGCAACTTAGGGAGATCTTATCTGAAAATTTTAAAAGAGTCAGGGATGTAGCTCAGTAATAAAGTGCCCCTGGGCTCAATCCCCAGTACTGATAGATATAGATAGATAGATAGATAGATAGATAGATAAGGCTCGATTTTGTGTGTGTGTGTGTATGTGTGTATTTGTGTATCTTTTTTCTTTTTTTTTTTTTTCACAGTGCTGGAGGTTGAACCCAGGACCTCATATTGCTAGGCAAGCACTGTACACTGAGCCACATCCTTAGTCCCAAGTATCACTCTTGAATTTTTGGGCAAAAGGTTGGATAATCCAGGGCTGCATTTTTTGGGCCAGGCTAAACTAACAGTGTCTGCTCTCTACAACGAAGCTAACATATGGGATGTGGACACCCTTGGCAGAATACTTGTGTGTCTCTTCTTTCACACTATCTTTTATCCCTTTAATGTTATCTGAATATCACTACATGACMATGACCTTGATTGTGAATATAATCATTAGGTATCAGGCACCTGTCCCCCAGAAAAAATGAGCAGCCAGAGCATAGTGAATCCTTTCAAGCAAGTTCTGATGCATCTGTGGCAGTTGAGAAATCCTACAGTGTAAGTAATATGGTCTGGAGAACCAAGTTGAGCCCAAAGACCTAATATAGTAGAGCAAAGTTGTCATTACATATTATGACACCAAAATAATATCTATAGAAGTTAGAGATAGAGGGGCTGGGGATATAACTCAGTTGGTAGAATGCTTGCCTCACATGCACAAGGCCCTGAGTTCAATCCCCAGTACCACAAAAAAAAAAAAAAAATTAGGGCCATGACTGTTTATAGAATATAGAGAGAAATTGATAATGACACATATAAAAATACAGTAGTGATAAAATGTAAAGTCTTTTGAAGAATCCAGTACAGCATTGTATTTAATTATATTGTACAGAGCACTCAGGATAATTTGTTCTTTCTCTCATGTGAGGACTGGAAGCGCATGTTACATTGAGCTGAACAAGCAGGTCAAGGAAGGAGCTTCCCTGTAGTATGGGAGAGACTAGGCTTATCTGAGAAATTTCAATGTGACAACTATTAAGTGTACTAGGAGGGAAAGGGTGCAGCAAAAGCAGTGTCCAAGGAAATAAGTCACAAAATGTCTGCAAAGAGATGTCTGAAGGTAGGGAAAAGAAAGTTGTCTGATGCTGTGGTAGTCAGGGCTTCAATGTAGCAAAATAAGCAGAAAAAGGAAGGGTAGAATGGATATGCTCTGTACTTTTTAATATTTGGATTTTATTTTTTATTATTGAGATTTCATTGTTGTTCCAAAAGTCATGCTCATTCTCTTGCCTCTAAACTGTAATACCTGAAGGACTTCCAAGTACTAAGGAGCCTCACTCTCCTCATGTGTACCATGATGCCAACATGCAGACCATTTCTGTGCCTTTGAGGGATCAGGGTGTTTAAATTCTATCTTCAGCTTGAGTTGTCAAAGRGTTTTGAGCATCGTTTCCCTAATCTGCACCCATTCTGCATATTAGATGCTGAGACTCAGGAATATTGTTCTTCCATACTTACTCCCAGCAGTTCATAACCACCTTTTCCCACCACAAAGGAAGGCAGAGTACTCAAGTTAAGTGCATGAGCTGACTGCTGGGTAGTTTTAGATGACCTTTTTTTAACACTGTGTTTTGCTRTAAAGACATTTGCTTATAATAAATAGCGACTTAAAAGTGATTTCCTGTATTATTAATAGGACCAATCTGTACAATCAACTTGTTCACCAGAATCTTCTGAAGACATAACAGATGAATTTTTAACTCCAGAATATGAGTATTTTTACTCCTCTACTGTTCAAGAAAACTTAGCTCTAGAGGTAAAAATCACATTCAGGGTAAAGTATGTTTTCAAGTTTTTCTTTTGCTTTGTTCCTTTTAAATCATTTTTATTGGGTTGGGGTTGTGGCTCAGTGGTAGAGTGCTTGCCTAGCACGTGTAGGCCCTGGGTTCGATTCTCAGCACTGCATATAAATAAATAAGGACTATTGACAACTAAAAATCTTTTTTTAAAAAAATAGATCATTTTAATTAAGAAAACTAGTTTACACATAGAYGTATCCAATGCCCACTTACTATTGTTTGCATAAATGATTTTAAAATTTTGAAAAATAAGAGTTTTTAAAATGAAAGGTCATATGCAATTTCTCCCCCAAATTAAGGTATCTGCATCTGTACAGCACTTTGTACTTTTTTCTAAATACTTTCTTTCATTCGTGGTGTCTGATTCACGTGTTTTTTCTGTGGGGAAAAGAACAAGGTTGTCATTCTTCTCTACGAAGAACGGGTGGCTTGCAGATGTAGGTAATTAAACCCAGTTTGCCAAGCTTTAGTGGCAGGAGAACCAGGACAGAAGAAATCATTCAGCAAAAAAACATGAGACTGTTCAGTACTCGGGTTTTCTTGGGAGTCTGCTAGCTTTTTCATGAACCTGCTTGTACAGAGTATTTTCATTTGTAAAATGAAATTAATTGGATTCTTTTATTACTTATATGATTTCTTCCCCATCTCTCCCCAATCTCTGCCACTGTTTTGGGAAATCTTTTTATCAACATGAAAGGTGGGGTGGAGGAAAGGAAAGTCACAGCATTTGACTGACAAGAAGAATTCAGAATGCATCAAAAGTATAATTATTACATGGGCTGGGGTTGTAGCTCAGTGGTAGAGTGCTTGCTTAGCATGTGTGAGGCACTGGGTTMGATTCTTAGCATAACATAAATAATTAAACTAAAGGTCCATTGACAACAACATTTTAGAAAGTATAATTATCACTTGTTTCCACTTCTGAAAACCCGGAACAGTTTTCCCTTATTAACAATCCTTTAAGTATTCTTTATTAACTATGCATAGACTGAGATGTTAATAAATCTTTAGTAAAAATATTTTTAAAACATACACACTCGTGTAGGATACACATAGCACACATACATGTCCTCTCTTCTAATTTGTTGGGAGATTGGGATGAGCTGGAGAGAGCGATATAAATGAAGTCACAAAATTCCTCTTCATGATAGGAGATGGAGGGATGGCTTGTTGCTGAGAGAAATACCATAAATAAAAATGTCTGTGAAGCAGGTTTGTTCTTTTCCTATAAAAGATGTAGGGACTTTAGGATCAAGAGGGCTATGGTAAAGCACTTGCCTACCATGTGTAAGGGCTTGAGTGCCACAAAAGAAAAAAAAGAAAAAGAAATCAAAGTCAGAAAGAACAGTATGCCCTGCCCAATGGAACTCTTACCCAGCTTCAATAATTTTCAATAATTTTTCAGTTCCTTCTGAAATTTTTTATATTTATGCCTCAATTGAATCTTCTTTCTTTACTCTTCTTTTATTCTTTGTAGACCTCAAGTCCCATAGAAAAGGACTTTGAAGAAATACAAGGTGCCTTTGCCCACCCTCCAGTCTGTGGTAAGCCCTAGGGCAGATTCATTTAATAGCCATTGCCTTTGCTTTCTTTTGGATCATGGATATGCAGAGCTGGAAGTGACCTTAGAGATAACTTCATCAAGACCATTTTGCAGATGAAGAAAACAAGGCACAGTGATCTCCCCTTATTAGATTGACTCCTCTGCTCCTCACCAGCCTAATGAGATATATATATGGTGTTATTTATACTTCCCCTTGTATTTTTATAAATACACTGTAGTACTTGCTGCTCCTTGCCCCATTACCACCACACACACTCTTTTTCACTAGATTTTAGGATCCTTGGTGATACACAGAAAGTACTGTTATTTTTGCTGAGCAACGTGAAGGATTTGCTCAAGCCACAGAGCTAGTTATTGATACAAAAAACCCTGGGAATTTTGGTTTTCATGTTTTTCTCTAGAAGGCAGTTTCATCTTCATTTCTCTTTGCTTGCTTAATATCTTAGCATAAAGTTAATAATAGCCAGCTGGGCACAGTATAATCCCAGTGACTTGGAAGACTGAGCAGGAGGATCACAAGTTCAAGGCCAGATTCAGCAATTTGGTGAGATCTTGTCTTAAAATAAAAAGGACTGGGAAGGTATCTCAGGGTAGAGCACCCCTGGGTTCAGTCTCCAGTACCTCTGCCCCCATCCCCGTCCCAAATTAATAACAGCCAATAATGCAGATTCAACTCAATATCACCCCTTGGGAGGCTTTGGGTTCTCTGCAGCCAGGAGAGTGGCGCAAGACAAGGTAGAAATGAACTATTGGTACTGTTATAGACATTTAAAAATTTTAAGGTATGCAAGAATTTTTGTTTATTTCTTCCTTTTTTTGTTTTTGCAGTACAGGGGATCAAACCTAGGGCCTCACCCATGCTAGTCAACCCTACCTTTGAGCTACGTCCCCAGCCCTTTTAAAATTTTGAGACATGGTCTTGCTAAGTTACTGAGGCTGGCCTATCTCAGCTTCCTGAGTAGTTGAAATTATAGGTGTGTGCCACCATGCCAGGCTAAACATGTATTTTTAAACCAGAGTTATCCACCTAATGGGCTATGTAGATCTCCACAGTGGCATCTCAACCTTCTGAACCTGGACAGATGGGGTACCTCACACCTACTGCACACTCCAGCTTCCAACCCTAACTTGATTCAAGCTCCTATCAGAGTCAGGAGCATTTTAAGAAGCTACAAGCTTTTATTTAAACAATTACATTCTCAGGATATGTATAAGAAAACCTCAGGGACTTGAGTCATTCACCTTTTCCTGCTGAAGCTTTACCCATGATCACTATCTGTGGGCCTACTCTGAACATGGCCACTTGTATTTGGAGGAGAGTTGAGTAGCTTGGAGAAATAGAAAGGCAGACAGGTCAGAAAACCAGAGCCAGTTTCATACAAACATCTGAAGTACATGTATTTTACTCCCTTCTTTCAGGCTTTTTGTACCYCCACCCTTAGGGCTCTGATATATTATCTCCTTCTTCACCAGGGAACAGGATGAGTACAGTGGGATGCATGTTAGATTATCACTTTTTTTTTTTTTTTGTACAATACCAGGGATTGAGCCCAGGGCCTTCCACATAGTAGGCAAGCACTGTACCACAGAGGCACATCCCCAGCTCCACATGATAGGTTCTAAACTATTGTTCTGCCATCAATTTTTTTCTGCGTACCTTGAACAAGCCACTTCATCCCAGGGCCCCACTCTCCCCTAGTATAAAGGAGAGGAGGTCAGACTTTTAAAAAATCTCTTAAGTTTTCTTCGGTTCTAGTTGTGCTTATTAGGAGATATTTTTTAAAAGTTTATGCTATCTATATGTTTATCATTTTTAAGAGAGTCACAGGAAGCTGGACACAGTGGTACATGCCTATAGTCCCAGCAACTTGAAGACTGAGGTAGGAGAATTGCAAGTTTGCAATTTAGGAAGACTCTGTCTCAAAAAATAAAAAGGACTAGGCATGCAGCTTAGAGGTAAAGCTCCCCTGGATTCCATCCCAAGTACAAAAGGTGGTAGGGGGAATGTTGAAGGAAGAAGAACCCCAATGTTTCTCTACTGGTGAGTGTTTTAGAGMTTCTTGGTATCTGTCTGCTAAAGGCAGGATTATTCTGATATGCATTCCTAGTGCCTACCAGATCACCTGCCCCAAAGGATTAGGATAGGTATAGGGAGTTTGAAGCATTTGGAATCAGGGMAGGCTGCTCTGTATGCCCCCATCTTCATAAACTAGAATAGTTAATACTGGTAAGGAAAATGGATACTACTTCTRTTTGCCTAGATATCTGGAAAGTATTTTCCTGAGAATTGGGGAGGAGTAACTTCAGACACTTGATGCTAAGGGAAACAAGACAGTCAAACTAGCTCCTCATATTCAAGACCCCACTCTCTGCCCCCTCACTTTAGAGGGTATTTGATGGCTAAGAGGCACAGTTAACTCTCTGGGAATGCCCAACTAATATTTTCTSTATGGTAGCTTTAGTGAACAAACCATTCTTGGTTTCAACGCCCCCTGGTGTCCATTGACTGGAACTGGGTCAGTTAGCATTCTTGAAAAGACAAACAACATTTGTCTCTAGAAATAACTGTGTGRTTATAACTGAAAGGCCAGTAAATAGCTTAATTGTATTCTGAGTGTCAGAATATAGTTCTCCCCTCTGATYAAGGAAAATAAACTTTCAGAGCAAAAAACCTTCTATTCAACATTCAATTCAAACCCAAATAGGGAAGTACTTTTCTATGCAGATTATTTTTCATTCTAGACTAGATCAAGGAAAATTCTAGAAAATGAAGATAATAATCTGTATTAGTAAAAATACATTTCTTTATTCTTTAAGGTAAGGAAATATTCCAAATGAGAAAAATCCTTGGAAGGAATGCTGAGATTTTGACCAGGCCTCAATTTCAACCTATACAAAGGTATGGGCTGTTGTATCTTATACAAACATATGGGCATTGTGTCTTATTCAGTTTCATACTCAGAAGCAATGTTAATGTTGAGAAAGCCACATGCTTATGCATTCATTACTTGTTTTCACATGTGTTTTCCCCTATCTTACAAATATTAGTTTTGAACAGCTTAACTTTTTTAGGACTTGTTAAAMAGAATTTAAGGGGTAGAAATCATTATCTGTATGCAGATCCTGACTCTGACATTCTATTCATGTGACCTTGGTAACATTTCCCTTCCCTCTTCTGTATCCTCATCTGTAAATAGGGATAAGAATGTTGACAGCTGGGGTTGTAGTTCAGTGATAGAGTGCTTGCCTAGCACGTATGAGGTACTGGGTTTGATCCTCAGCACCATATAAAAATAAATAAATGAAGGTATTGTGTCCATCTTCAAAAAAATAAAATAATAAAATAAAGAATGTTGAAATTGGAATTAAAAGTAATTCTGTAACTTCTGAGCATCTGTCCTAGAGAAATGAAGACTTAATGTTTACATAAAAACAATGTACCCAGGGCTKGGGTTGTGGCTCAGCATGAGAGCACTGGCCTAGCATGTGCAAGGCCCTGGGTTCGATCCTTGGCACCACATAAAAATAAATAAATAAAATAAAGGTATTATGTCCAACTACAACTTAAAAATAAATATATAAAAAATGTACACAAATATTTATTAGAAAATGCATTTGTAAAAACTCCAAATCAGAAACCCACATGTCATCATAATATGTATGATGAACCAGACTGTGGAACATCTATACCAAAGGGTACTACTCAGATTAAAGGGGAATGAGCTATGGATACATGCAACACATGTATAAATCTGTAGAGAATTATGCTTACAGGAAGAAGATATCCCCAAAAGTTATTTACTGTTTGATTCCATTTACATAAAATTCTTGAAAATGTTAGAATTATTAAAAATAGTAGGGTGTGGTAGGTATGCCTGTAATCCCAGCAGCTCAGAAGGCTGAAGCAGAAGGATTGTGAGTTCAAAGCCAGCTAAACAACTCTGTAGGACCCTGTCTCTAAACATAATACAAAATAGGGCCGTGGATGTGGCTTAGTGGTTGAATGCTTCTGAGTTCAATCTCTGTACCACCTCCCTCCCTACCGCCTCTGCCAAAAAAAAAAAAAAAAAAAAAAAGATGTGAGGGTGGGACAAAATTCAGAATATTTCTAAGTTCACATTTCTAATCATTCAGGATTGAGCAGATTATACTATATAAGACCCCTAAATTTTAGTGGTTTAAAACAACTGAAGTTTCTTTCCTTTGGGGGGAAGGGTACTAGATACTGAACCCAGTGGCACTTAATCACTAAGCCACATCCCTCGGCCCCCCCTTTTTTTAAAATATTTTTTTTAGTCATTGATGGACCTTTATTTAATTTATTTATTTGTATGTGGTGCTGAGAATTGAACCCAGGGCCTCACATGTGCCGGGGAAGCATTCTCAAACTGAGCCACAGCCCCCCCCATCCCTTTTTATTTTCTGTTTTGAGACAGGGTCTTATCTAGTGGCTTAGGGCCTTGCTAAATTGTTGAGACTATCTTTGAATTTGTAATCTTCCTGCCTCAGCCTCCTAGCTGGCATTAAAGGTGTACACTACCAAGCCTGAAAAAAGTTTATTTCTTGTTCATGCTTCATATTTATGGCTCATAGGTTGTCCAGGGATGTTCTGAACTATATAACCTTTTATTAGGGATGTGGACTGGGGGAGGCGCCATCTTTGTACATCCTTGATCACCACGACAGGAAAAATGGAACCTGGTGAATTGTACACAGACTTATCAAGTCTCTGTCCAGAAGTAACTCATTACTTTCACTCATATTTCATTGGTTAAAACAAGTCTTATGGGCTGGGGATGTGGCTCAAGCGGTAGCGTGCTCGCCTGGCATGCGTGCGGCCCGGGTTCTATCCTCAGCACCACATACCAACAAAGATGTTGTGTCCACCGAGAACTGAAAAATAAATATTAAAAATTMTCTCTATCTCTCTCTCTCTCTCCTCTCTCACTCTCTCTTAAAAAAAAAACAAGTCTTATAATCATTTATGTAAATTAAGAGCCCCAAAATATGCTGTTTCACTGTGTGCCTAGAAGGAGATACATTTTGGTGAACAGAATTAATAAAGTTAAAAGTCAACCTAAAATCCACATTCTTTTCTTTATACCATTGGTCTTACAGGATTGTTGCAAAAATTAAAAATGTGAAAACACGGAAGAATTTAGCATGGGATCTGCTTTATAGTTAGTGTTCAATGAGTATAGAAATTGAATCTTAAATATTAGTTGAAATAGAAATGGGCCAAGTTCATCTTCAATATTTTCTTGCCATTTTTTGGCACAAGCCTCTCTTGACCTTTCTTGGTATTCTATAGYAGGAAGCTGTCTCATAGTTGCTAAATCTTCTTGGTTGTGCCCCTGCTCCAACATTTACCTCCCTATAAAGTTCCTGTGCTCCACTGATTTTCTTAGGAATTTCCTCATTGTCATATTGAGTTATTGGTTGATTTCAGGACTGGGCTGACCCTTATAGAGTAGTCAATCTCTGAAGAAGAACTGAGGCCCAGACATGTCAGAGAACTTGTAGCTAGTTAGAAGTAGAACCAGAACCCACACTTTTCACTTCTAGCTTTGTGCCCTTTCTACTGTTTGTTACTGGGTCAATAAACTGGTCTCTTGTATTAACTTAGTGCATTTGGCTAACGTTGATTTTATTTATTTATCCCTCACAGTATTGAAGGAAAACAAGAAGAGACATTAAAGGAATCACCAAAGGAACTGAAAGAGAAAGACATGTATGGCCACCAAAGAGTAGCCTAAGAATGCTTGTGTAAAGTATTGGTTTTATGGAAATAATATTTCCTTGTTGTAAGAATCTGCATGTTGGGCTGAGGTTGTAGCTCAGTGGTGGAGTACTTGCCTAGCATGTGTGAGGCACTGGGTTCARTTCTCAGCACTACATATAAATAAATAAAATAAAGGTCCATAGACAACTAAAAAAAAAAGAACATACATCTTTGCGTTTTTATGTGTAGATTTAATGTATGTTCCTTCATTTACCAGGAAACTGTTACTAAACTGATGATGTGATTTATAATTAATAGCATCTTATAATCAAGGAAATATAGTGATAGTGATGATGGTAATAAAAGTTTATGTTTGGGATAGATTAAATCTGCCTTCCACATAAATATCCTTTTATCTATTTTTAGCTGCCAAGATGTCTTTAAAGTTAGTATTTCTTTTTTAAGGTTTCTCTAATATTCTCTCTCCTCCTCTTCCTCATCTGGCTTCCTTTCCCTCTTCTCCTTCCTACTTCCCCTCACACTTCTTCCTCTTTGCTTTCCCCTTCTCCCTTTCCTTCTCTTCCTCCTTCTCCATTTCCCCCCTCTTTCTTCCTGCCTCCTTATCCTCATCCTTATCTTCTTCCTCTTTCTTTTTTTTCTTCTCTTTTTCCTCTTCCTCTTCTCCCTGCATCTCCTCCTCCTTTTCTTCTTTCTTGTTTGACCCAGAGTCTTGTTTTGCTGCCCAGGCTGGTCTTGAACTCCTGGACTCTCAAATACCTGAGACAGTAGGCACATGCCACTGTACCTGACTCTGACATTCTGTTTAAGACATTCTTTAATTCTGATCTATTGACAAAGATTTTTGTCAAGAATATACTTTTAAAATTCTTGGGCTGGGGATGTGGCTCAAGCGGTAGCGCGCTCGCCTGGCATGCGTGCGGCCTGGGTTCGATCCTCAGCACCACATACAAACAAAGATGTTGTGTCCGCTGATAACTGAAAAAAAATAAAATATTAAAAAAATTCTTTTTGCTGGGTGTGGTGGTGCATGCCTGTAATCCCAGCAGCTCAGGAGGCTAAAACAGGAGGATCACAAGTTCAAAGTAAAATACAAAATAGGGCTAGGGAAGTGGCTCAGTGGTTGAGTGCCCCTGAGTTCAATCCCTGGTACCCCCCCAAAAAAAATTCTTGTCAAGAATATATTACTTGATTTTTCTAAACATCTTCTCAGAATTACTGTGTTCTCTTAATTCTTTAGATCATTGACAGATATTCAAGACCTGTCTAGTATCTCCTATGAACAAGATAGCTCTTTTAAGAAAGCCTCATGCAAGACACCCAAAATAAACCATGCACCTACTAGTGTCAGCACTCCACTTAGCCCAGGTAATCATGAACAGGGAGAAGTGTTTTGGGAAACGACCTCACAACCTCTGCCCTTTAGCTCTGGGAAGTCAGGCCAGAGATCAGACCTGATGGCTGTTTTCTCCCAGACCAAAAGTATTTACTTAGAGCCAAAGCTGGAGGGAATAATCCCATGGGAGGCAAGGTAGTGGTGGTTGTAGTGGTGGTGGTGATGTTTAAGTAGCTGTTACAGTAGTAGTGACATGCAAATGTAGGGTCTATTCTGTACTCTGAGCACTACTGAATTTAGTGTAGAAATTTGATTATCTATAGAGTTTTCAATTTAAAACAAACAGTGCTTAAATATCTATAGTTCTTGAGTCCTACAACCGTATACAGCCAGCATCAAATATATTTTCTTTAGTGTCCATATTTCCAGTATATTTGTGGTCTAATTTCCCTTTATTTTATTTTGATAGCCAGGTTTAAATATTCTCATTTTTTATAACTTGAGGAGCTAGGTCTCAGATTAGTGATTATTTCAGTTGTTAGCAACTTTGGGAAATCTGCATAGTTAAAGAATTTTGAGTGTTTCATTTGTAATGTAAAGAATTCAGACACTAACCACCTTTTTTTCTCCAATAGGGTCAATTTCTTCATCTGCCAGTCGGTATAAAGACTGCCTAGAAAGTATCACACTTCAGGATCRAACAAGGTCTACCTCTTGCTGGAATAGCCAAGAATCTATTCGAATTTTTTCTGATAAATTTATAACCATTCGAGAGAAAGCAAAGAGCCTGGATTCTCTCCTTACTTCCTCTGAGACTCCTGCTCCAAAACTGATCAATCTGGTAAGTTTACCAATTCTGCTTTATACTCTCACAGGATCATGCACTCATAGGATCAGCCCAAGGGGCTCAGAGATATGAAGGACCAAGATTTTTCCAAATTAATTACACAGCAAGAAATAAGCTGGTTCTTCTTCAGGCTTCCCTCGGGCTCTTTGCCTAAATCTGTATTGTAGGAGGCTTATTTACTTTCTCTTTGATGCCTCCATTGGTTACTTCCCTGAAAGTATTGATTACTTTTCCTCTTCTCTGAACTCCTGAACTGATAATCTGCAGGAAAAACACTTAATTGTATCCTATCCTTTTTTGACCTCTTTTTTCCTCCTCTCTGACTCCCTAGGGTTTTTTTAAAAATATATATTGTTTAGTTGTAAATGGATACAATATCCTTATTTTGTTTATTTGTTTTTATGTGGTGCTGAGGATCAAACCCAGTGCCTCACATGTATGAGGCAAGTGCTCTACCAATGAGCCACAATYCCAGCCCCATGTCTCTCTCATATTTTATGTGTATTTTTTTTTTGAGAAAACCACAGATTTCTTAACTTCATACTGCTTACTAACACATAGTATCGTCTATAGACAGATTGATTATTTGCTTTGGCCCTCAATGAAAAAATTAATTGTCATCTTCTTTGGGCATTGTGCTCACAAAACATTTACTCAGATCTAAGGAAATGAACCAAGTACAGTGGTGCACATCTATAATCCCAGCTATTTGGGAGGCTCAGGCAAGAGAATTGCAAGTTTGAGGMCAGACTGAGTGAGTTGGTGAGACTCTGTCTCAAAAATAAAAAGGAATAGGCATATAGCTCAATARTACAGCACTTGCCTATCATGTGTAAGGCCTGTGTTCAATCCTTAGTACAGCTAAATAAATAAATATAGGAGTTGGGAAATGGTAAGGAATTTACCCTTTTATTCAACAGACTGTTGACTAAATAGATTCTGAGTGCCAGGCATCATGTCAGACCCTCTTCCAGTCATCTAAGACATATACTTTTCTTCAGAGTTGCTCATTGTCTAGAGAGAAAGAGAGGCCTAATGTAACACAGAGGTAAGTACTGAGGCAGAAAGGGATGAGAAGGCTTCCAGAAGAGGTCTGTTGAATGAGTCTAACTTACTAGATAAAAAAGTGAATGGGCTGGGGTTGTGGCTCAGCAGCAGAGCACTGCCTAGTGCATGTGATGCCCTGGGTTCGATCCTCAGCACCAMATAAAAATAAAATAAAGATGTTGTGTCCACCGAAAACTGAAAAAAAAAAGAATATTAAAAAACTCTCTCTCTCTCTTAAAAAAAAAAAAAAAGCTAAGTACCAAAAAAACCACACAAATAACCCAATCAATAAATGGGCCAAGGACACTTCTCAGAAGAGGATATACAATCAATCAACAAATATATGAAAAAATGTTTATCATCTCTAGCAATTAGAGAAATACAAATCAAAACTACTCTAAGATATCATCTCACTCCAGTCAGAAAGTCAACTATTATAAAGACAAATAATAATAAGTGTTGGCGAGGATGTGGGGGAAAAGGCACACTCATACATTGCTGGTGGGACTGCAAATTGGTGCAGCCAATATGGAAAGCAGTATGGAGATTCCTTGGAAAACTGGGAATGGAACCACCATGTGACCCAGCCTCAGCTATTCCTCTCCTCAGTCTATACCCAAAGGACTTAAAAACAGCATACTATAGGGATACAGCCACATCAATGTTTATAGCAGCACAATTCACAATAGCTAAACTGTGGAACCAACCTATATGCCCTTCAGTAGATGAATGGATTTTAAAAATGTGGCATATATACACAATGGAATATTACTCAGCAAAAAAAGAGAATAAAATCATGGCATTTGCAGGTAAATGGATGGAGCCGGAGAAGATAATGCTAAGTGAAGTTAGCCAATCCCCMAAAAAACAAATGCCAAATGTTTTCTCTAAGGAGCCTGATTCCTACTGGGTTAGGGAGGGGGAGCATGGGAGGAATAGAGGAACTCTAGATAGAGCAGAGGTGTGGGAGTGGAAGGGAGGGGGCAAGGGGTTAGCAATGATGGTGGAATGTGATGGATATCATTATCCAAAGTACATGTATGAAGACATGAATTGGTGGGAACATACTTTATTATACAAACAGAGATATGAAAAATTRTGCTCTGTATGTGTAATAAGAATTATAATGCATTCTGCTGATCCCCAGCACCACATAAAAATAAATAAATAAATAAAATAAAGGTTGATCAACAACTAAAAAATATTTCTTTAAAAAGTGGAAATGATTGAACTGCATGTACTTTTTTACTCAACACATGTGTCAGTTACTATTTTTACATCTCACTTGTAGAAAAGATTGTCTGCATGTGCTGTAGTTGGTTCCTCTAGTATGGCTACCACATCTGACACATCAACCCAAGCCACCCAGAGAAGGAGCCTGCCTAAAGGTACCTGTGTGTCATATCAAAGTAGAAGTTCATAATAGTTAGCCAATTTAAGGAGACTTAAATCGAAGCKATATTTGGTTCAAACAAAAATGCTATTTCCTCAGATTGTGAAACAGATTTGTTATAGAAAACTTGGAGAATAAAGCAAAGCTTAAAAAATAAAATAATTATATAACTGTAATTTTTTAATTTCATGTATAATTTTAATATATATCTTTCTCACAGATTTAGAAATATATTAAAAAATAGCATAGTTGCATATCAGTTCTAGACTGCTTTTTTTCCTTGATGATATATATTTAACCTCCTTCTCTGTGAGTACCACATCCACAAATTTAACCAACAGCAAGTCAAAAATATTTGAAGAAAATTGTTCTGAACATGTATATGCTCTTTTTCTGTTCTTATTCCCTTAACAATACAGTAAAATGACTATATATATAGCATTTACAACGTATTATTATTGTAAGTAATCTAGAGATGATTTAAAGTATATGGGAGGATATACAAAGATTATATGCAAATACTGTACCATTTTATGTAAGAGACTTAAGTGTCCATGAATTTTGATACCCTCAGGTAGAAGAGATCCTAGAATCAGTCCCTTATAGATACTGAGGAATAACTGCATTTTGAGTATTTTCCCTTGTCATTAAAAACTATTCATATATATATATAATAACTACATAATAATCCATTCTATTTAAAGTCCATTCTATTTAATAGTCAGTGTTATTTAACTCTTTCCTAATGTCAAAGATTTATGTTGCTTTCCAACTTTTTGCTCTGTGTACATAAATCTTTAACTATACTTCTGATCCTTTTCTCAGGACAGATTCTTAGAAGACAGTTTTTTAATCAAAAGGATCTGATACTGTTAAGGATTTTTTTTTGGTGGATGGTGGGGTATTGGAAGTTGAACCCATGCCTCACATATGCTAGACAAAGGATCTGATGTTTTTACAACTCTTGAGGCATATTGCTTTCATTACATTAATTTTAATATCTTAAGTCTTTGGAACAAAGACTTGAAATTTTCCCTCCAGGAATGGATTTTGTCTTATATTGAGGGGTTGTTATTATAATTGAGCTCTTGGGGCAAGACCTGAAGTACAGTTGCTTTTATATCACCTGGCCTGAAAATTTATAGACAAAGGCCTTCTACTTTGTGTTTTGTCCATTTTGGCTGGTCTATAACCTCTATATTCCTTAAGCAATTCTGATCCAGATTGGATCCCCCAGCCTCTTAGTAAGAACCTACTTCAAATATCCTTAGCAAGGGAAGGGGCACAGGCCAAACAATACTGAGGTAAGTGGGATAGAATAAGAGAGGTCTCTACTAAGAAAATTATTTAAGAGAAGGAGGTATCTATTAGGACAGAAGAGAAGGAGGTATCTATTAGGACTGTTATATAAAAGACTTTCTTTTACCCTTTATTTATTTCATCATTGGAAATCCTCAGTCAGATTCATGAGGGGGCTTAGAAAAGTCCACTTCAGATTCAGGAGAGTGTTAAGTCATTTCTTCCTTTATCTTTTTAAAGAACTAATGGAAGCCATTTCACAGCATCACATTGATGAGCTACCACCACCATCTCAGGAGCTACTTGACGAAATTGGTAAGAGACTGTTAGCCAGCTTTTCATCATTGTGACCAAAGTATATGACACAAACTACTCGGAAGAGGAAAGGTTTATTTTGGCTCATGGTTTCATTTCATGATTGACCAATTACATTACTCTGGGCCTGAGGTGAGACAGAATATCATGGTGAAAAGGTGTGGTAGGGGAAAGCTGCTCAGTTTGAGGCAACCAGGAAGCGGAGAGAAAGACAGAAGAAGGGACTAGAGACAAGATAAAGTCCCTAAGGACATGTCCCCAGTGACCTACTAATAATAAGTCAGAACCCTCATGATCCAATCATTTTCCCTAAACAGYACTGCACTGGGAATGAAACCTTTAACACAGAAGATTGTGGGGGACATTCCAGACCTAAACCGTAACAGGAACATTTAATACAAAATACACTTGGTCTTGTCAGCTATTGTCACTGACCACAGCATGGTTTCCTTATCTCAGATATGAGCACTAATAGAAAGGGCCTACAAAGTTCTGGTTGAATGATAAAATCAGAAAGGGACAGCTTTCCAATAAAAGGGACCACAACAACTTAGCTGGGATATTGGCCTGAATCTGTTACATTTTGTTTCTTAAAGGTAATGGTGATGATTGTGAGGGGAAATAAAAATATTAAAATGATTTATGATGATAAACTTCTTTTATTAAAGAAACTCTTATCTTCTTTTTAAACCAAACCAGCCATTCCTTGGAGGCCTGAGTAGGAGGCATTCAAAGTATTGAAATTGTGGGTAAATCCCTTTCCTAAGAGTCAGTGTCATAAAATTTAATGAGACTAGAATTTTCCATTTCAGGCAGAGACTGAGTAGTACCAACTCAATTTTATTTGCATTTGGGTTGATGKGAAAAAATGATGCAAGGTTATCGAAAAATTTGCAGGCAGGTAGTCTGCTTCCCCGGCAGCTTGATGGACCATCCCCTTGCCCTTAGGGGATGCCTCTCATCAGATTTGTGAGAGTTTAATTATTTTTTTGATGGTCCTATTCTTGCTATGGAGCTTGTAGAGAACTTCCTGGACACTAGTTGGTTTTCAGAGTCTCTGAGGTTTTGAGTCTCATAAGAAGTGAGAGCTTATTGGTCTGACTCTAGGACCAGCTGCCTTCTAGTCTCCTTATAACCCTCAGCCCCTGTTCTTTGACACGTTTAAGTAGATCCAGTCAGCTTCTAAAACCTTCCTTGCTTGGTTTCTTTTCCCGTAGTTACAGGCCCTTTTCTTTTTTTATTTTTGCAGTACTGGGGATTAAACCCAGGGCCTTGCACATRCTGGGCAAGTGCTGCACCACTGAGCATACCCCCAACCCTATAGCCTTTTGTTGCCTCACTTAACCTTGCCTTCAGTGCCACAGGGTCATATAGGTCACAGGCTTTTATGGGTCAGGCTCTTAGGCCCATAACCCTACCTCTCTACTTTCCACCTCTGAGACTCTCTAGTTAATCTCTGCAAATTCTTCCTCTGTAGTTAATCTCGGCAAATTCTTCCTCTGTAGTTGCTCTTCTTAAAAATAACAGAACTGTTGAGATTGGAGGTTATCCTACATGTGTACTGCTTAAGTAGATTTTTAGTATCATTTGTTCCTTAGCAATGGCGTAATTTTCCAGAAATACAAAGTAGGCTTAAATAGGTACTTGCAAGTTGGACTGTAATCAATACTTGCCTGTGGATCCTGCTGTCCTTCTACTGTAGTTACCACATGTGAACCCTCTCTCACTTTCTCCATTGTAGCAGCTGTGTTCCCAGGTTTCCTCCTGGGTTCTGGTCTCATGGTACATACCCCAGCACAGTCATTTCACTTATGGCAATTATCTGGGCCAGGTTTGTAGGTGATGTCTACACTTTGAATGGCTCAGTAATTTTCCAGAAATACAAAGAGCAGAGGATCCTTTTTTAATTTTGTCTCTCTCCCCCTCAGGGAATTGTCTCTTTTGTTAGTTGTTTGATCCCCAGATTCTAGAACAGAGCCTGGTATATAAAAAGAACTCAATAAATGTTTATAAAATAAAAGAATTGAGTTTTCTATGCAAGTAGTAAGAAGCCTTCCATAAACTCAGACTGCAAGCAGTCTTTTGAGATCACCCAAACATGAAATCCCTGTCCTTTTTCTCTCTTAGTCCTTCCCCAATACCCAAAATTACTTGTCTGAAGGAGGCCAGACCTCTTTGTACTGACCCTGTGTTCTGACCCTGCTTACAGGACTGCGTAAAGATATCCATATGAAGAAGTGACTCTTCCCAGCCTTACTACATGATTCTAATGCTTCTGTCTAAAGCATTACAGTTTTAGAAAAACCCTTGGAACTTTTATCAGAGCCTGAGTCACCAATCCACACTCATTCTTCCTCAAGGAAATTAGATTTTGGATTTGTGCACTCACCCTCCCCCACACTAGACCCATTAGGCCTTGAAGAAATGGGAGGTACCTACTCAACTGAAGAACTCCCTAATGATAAATCAAGGGGGAAAAGTTCACCAGTGGGCTTCTGCCTTCTCCCTCTAGGAGGTCCTGGATGCCTTATGCAAATAATCAAGTAGAGGGTTTTTGAGTAGTTTTTCCTGATGATGGGTTTACTCATCTGGCTATTGTATATGTATTGTTTCCCCTAAAGAGATTTCTGGGGAATGACCTGCTGTTACTCTTTTGGAGGACCCACATTCAAATCTCTAGATTCCTGACAAGAACCTACAGGGGAAATTTTAGAACCCTAAGATATAGGTAATCATTTAAGATCAACAAGGGACTAATCAGGATTAAAATGGATTTTTAATTTCAAACTATATAAAATGATCTTATAGGGCCCCTTGATGCCAAGCTCTGTGAGGTAGGACCTCTTTCCTACTCAGCAGGAAGGGAGCCAACTTGTACCTTCCCAGAACAAGACCAGCAAGCTCAGGCTGGTCTGCCTGTGCTCCCTGCAACTGACTTTTTGCTCTGCACTGGAGAGTACTTTGAGGAGACTGAGCACTTAATAAATGCAGAGCAGCCACTGATTTTAGCAGATGCTTGTCTTTAGTAAGTATTTCTTTAGGAAATGGAAATAATGGATATTCTCTGCCTCTTGTCTTTCCATAGGCCRGAAGAGATGAGGAAACATTTGAATTATTGTGATGTTGTAATAAAATTTTTTTTACAGAGTAGAATATAGAGATTAGGAGCATAAACCTTACAGTTAGAACTGCCTGGATTCAAATCTCATTCTTCCCACTGATTTTCTGTGTGATTTTAGGCAAGTTCTTTAACCTTTCTTAGGTTTTAGGCAAGTTTCTTAACCCTAATTTCCTCATTCACTAAACACAATTAACAATAATGCAGTCAGTTGCATAGGGTTGTTGTAAAGATTGTGAACATTAGCCTCACATGCACAAGGCCCTGGCTTCAATCCCCAGCACCATACATACACACAAAAAAGATTGTGTGAACATTAATCCTGAGTACATAGGGTGCGGCAAAGTATTACCTATCTTCTGCATCATCATAATCATCTTTTTTTGTCTTACTTGAAAAATTTCCTTCAAATTAGGAATGTCCATAAGCAGTAGTTCTCCAACTTTATCAGGCATCTTGAAGGTCTTGTTAATACACAGATTGCTGAACCATACTGCCAGAGTTTTAGATTCAGTAGGTCTAGGATAAGGCCCAAGAATTTGCATTTCTATCAAGTTCCTGGGTTAAGTCAGAGCTGCTGGTCTGAGGACCACCCTTTGAGAACCACTGCCCTAGAGTCATTCAAAGGAGGAATAAGTTGTCTTTTGCTTTTGTACTGTGACAGAGCACCTGAAGCAGCAGCAGAATTCATCCACAGTGTTGCATGAGAACACAGTACATGATCTGGGCATCACTGCAAATGGTGAGCATATACTCTCAGATTTTTTCATCAGGTTCTAGGTGTAATGTTGTCCTTGGCAACAGAGTAGTACATATGGGGAAGTGTGACCCTGAGGTCAGTCAAACTCCACCTCAATTCTGACTCTACTAGTTTTTGCTTTTGCGGTGTTAGGGACTGAACCTAAAGGTTCTCTACTTCTGAGCCACATTCCCCTATTTATTTATTTATTTTTATCTTTTAAGACAGTTTCTTGCTAAATTAGGGCCTTGCTAATTTGCTGAAGCTAGTCTCCAACTTGTGCTCTTCCTTCCTCTGCCTCCTGAGTAGTTGGAATTATGAATATGTGCTACTGTCCTAAGTCAGTTATATGACCAACTGTTTAATATCTGAGCCTCAGTTGTCTTTATCTGTAAAATGGGGATAATAATTCCTATATTATGAAGTACATAATAGCTCCACAAACAGTGCATGGTACATCCATAAAATATTTAGCAAATGTTAGTCCTCTTTCCTTTATGGGACTGGTGACCAAATGAAATGAGATAGCATATGTAAAATGCTTATCATACATTAGAGGGTTTCTTCCCCACCCACATTCCTTCCTGGGGCTCCAACCTAGAAACATTTCTAAGAAGTAAATTTATTCAGTTTGTTCTCAGGGCTGCTTGCCTTATCTTTTGTGTGACCTTTCTTTCCTCTGCTTGTTCTTATCCATCTCTGAACCTTGGCACAGGCTAGATTTCCTAAAGCTTCACCTGGCACCAAAGAGCTCCCAAGACCCCAGATGCAGCTGTTGTGAATACAGGTGTCCTATAGACTGCCACCTGTCCTCCTGCTCTAATGGGAAGAGAGGAGCTAGTCCATTGCATACTTAAGGAACCACTGATAGGCCTTAATTTCTATACTCCATTTTAAGGCAGGCTTTCTTAATGTTTTCATTCTAATAAAGCTAATTCTTTGAATTGTTTTTAGATCAAAAGCATTTAGAAGAACAAGAAACTRACCATAATAAAAATGATAACATTTTGCTTTGGACAAGAGAAACTGAGGATCTAGAAGAGGACACAGAGAGGTAATAGAAAAAGCTAGACTTTTGAAAGGGTTTTAAAAATTGCATTGTTTTTATATTAAGTGTTTTCCCCAATATTGACAAATAGGAGGAAAAMAATCTTGCCCCATACTATCCTAATAACTTCCATTCCTAAAAGGTTTTCTGCTTTTTAAAAAATTTAACTGTGATAAAATACAAATAATATATGTTACATGTAAAATACATTAATAAAACTTACATGCAACATACATACACATTATATGTAAAATAAATATAACATAAAATTTGCCATCTTGGGGTAAATTTACCATCTTGGTTGTGACTCAGTGGTAGAGCACTTGCCTAGCATGTGTGAGGTATAGGGTTAGATCTTCAATACCACATAAAAATAAATAAATAAAAATAAAGGTATTGGGCTGGGTTATGGCTAAGCAGTAGAGTGCTCACTTAACACGTGCGAGGTCCTGGACTTGATCCTCAGCACCATATAAGAATAAATAAATAAAGGTATTGTGTCCAACTACAACTAAAAAATATTTTTTAAAATATTTATCATCTTAATAATTTTTATGTGTAYAGTTCAGTAATATTAAGTATACAGAGTGGAACTGGGGTTGTGACTCAGTGTAAAGCACTTGCCTAGCACGTGTGAGGCACTGGGTTCAATTCTCAATTCCATATAAAAAAATAAATAAAATAAAGATATTATGTCCATATACAACTTTTTTTTAAAAAAGCATGTATATGGTCCCAACTTATGATGGTTCAACCTATGTTTTTATGACTTTATGATCTTTTCCTGGGATAGCAATATATGGTATGATACTCTGAGTTCCAGACAGTAGCAACAAGCCATAGTTCACAGTCATCCTCACAATCATGAGGGTAAATGACTAATACTCTACAGTGTACTGTCTTGCTCAGCTTGCTGTTTGGTTGGTTAGGTGTATTAAATAAGAAATGTATTTACAACTTAACAGTATTTATAATATAAATCAAGGGCATCTGTACTCAAATTGTTATGCAACAATTCTCCACACATTTATCATTTTACAAAACTGAAACTCTTTCTGGCTTGTCAACTCCCATTTGCAAGATGGCAGCTATCCACACACCAGGCAGATGATATAAGCAGGTGAGACAAAGGAATATATTAGTTGATTCTGCCCCATTTTATCTGGAAAGCAAAATTTCCCGAGAAACTCTTCCCAGCCCACATCCACTTTATCTAATAGACCTATTGGGTACAAGGGACATCAGAAATTGAATTAACATCCCAACTGCTATAAAAGGCAGCAGCAAATAAGAGTGTTTTGACTAACTTTTGGTTAATGAATCTAGTGTCTGTCATATTCTTCAAGGGATATGTTATTCTTTATAAGAAGGAAAAAGGAGAGACCTGGAAGGGGAAAGGTCTGGGAAGTAGAGGAGGAGACTGGAGCCCTAGGATCTGAGAAGAAAATAGAGAGAGGGTTAGAGACAGTGAAAAGAAAGAAGCAAGAAGGGGAAATTTTTTTTTTCAAGGGATGTTTTAGAAAATTTTTATCTGTGATATTACCGTTCCTTCTATCTCCCCAAAATGCTGTCATTAAAAATCTGAGCCATAATTTAAGGTAAAAGAATAATTGCTTAAGAAGACCAAGTTAGGTTTGGCTATTCAAACATAAAATTCTTTGTACATGGTCAAAAGTTAGCTAATGTTATTGTCTCATCCTTTTCCAAAAGAACTGGTGGCAGTACTTACCACAGACATGCTCCACAGATGCTCAGACATTTCAGTGCTATGAATGGTTTGTCAGTTCTAGGGACCAAGCTAGAGTGGAAGATATTTTTTTGATGGGGGGGATATTTTTCAGGCTTTCTTAAAACACCCTATTTTCATCTTCTAGCCTCAGAGATAGTTCTTAGAAAAATAAATAGAAAGTATATGCAATCTTGACCTAAGGTAGAAACTGACTTAATGACCTAGATTGAGACAAGAGTCAGCATTTGACATTGGGATATCACTATATCATGGATGCCATGGCTTTTTGTCAAGGGACTATGGGACTATTTTGTATACATTTAAATTAGATCTATGTGACCTCTGTGAGTCTACATACAGTCTGACCAAACTTACATTTCCTCAACTGTATAGAGAAAGCACAGTTTTAAAGTTTCTTGCCACTCTATAGAGTGTTATGTTTCCTTGTCAAGGGAGAGGGAAAAAGACTATTGTCACCATTCTCTTCACTTTCCCTTGGATAGAGCTCATTCTACTCTTGATGAAGATCTGGAAAGATGGTTTCAGCCATCTGAGGAGAGCATGGAGCAGCAGGACCCCCACAAAGGCTCTACAAGGTTAGTATTCCCCATTGGGGGTTCTTCTTTTTTCCTTACATAAAATTTATATAATTCCTAAGGCATAGAGGTATTAGACTCCTATTTTCTTCTTTTTGAGGAAATGGGGCTAGGTTTTAGACTTCTTGGAGAATGAATGTCTGGTAATAGCATTAAACTGCTGTAGATAAGCCAGCCCTGACTCCAAGGGTGTGCATTCTCACCCTTGTCTCTCTCCCTCCAGTCACCCACAGTGCTCAAGATATTGATTAGCAAATTGATATCAGTATAGGAGAGGCCTCTAAGATTACTGTATTTAGGCCCTGCTGATTTCAACCTTTTCATCAGTCATTTGAATTATATCAGGAAAGGCATATTTATCAAATTTTTAAATAACAAATCTAGGAATGAGTGCTAATGTGATGGATGATAGACTGGGGATTCAAAATGGTATTGACAGATAAAGATAGCAGGCTATGGAGGCTCGTGCCTGTAATCCCAGCAGCTCTTGAGGTTAGGACAGGAGAATCTCAAGTTCAAAGCCAGCCTCAGCAACAGCAAAGTGCTAAACAACTCAGTGAGACCCTGCCTCTACATAAAACATAAAATAAGGCTGGGGATGTGGCTCTGTGGTTGAGTACCCCTAGTTCAATCCCTGGTACCAAAAAATAAAAAATAAAAAAGATAAAGCCAAACACAATGGTGCATGCCTATAGTCACAGCTACTCAGGAGGCAGAGTAGGGAGGATCTCTTGAGCCCAGGAGTTCAAGGCCAGTCTGGGCATCTTAAAAAAAAAAAAAAAAAGATGAAGGTAAAAGATTCAAAAACATAGAGTACTCCTAGGACACTTGGCCTGAAAAAAAATTTTTAATTGGAAATTCTTACTCACTATAGTTACATTAATGGCAGGAATTCTTAGTTTTGTATACCAAGCACTTAACATGCAGCTTGAGACATAGTAACAATTCAATAAATTCTTGAAGGCATGGACATGACTCTCTGAAGCTCAGGTTGATGCAGTTGTTGAAAAGGTCAATGCAACATTAGTGCTGTATAGACAGAAATGTATTGATTAGATCAAGGTGATGTGTGAGACCGGTAATGTGCTGTTTAGAGCACTCCTAGGGTGCAATGTGAGACTACTTTTTAGTGCCACATTTTAAGAGATATTAATAAACAGAATAGGGTAACCACAGAACAGTCACAGGTCTGCAAACCAGGTCATATGAGAACAGCTGAAGGAGCTGGGGAGGCTTAGCCTGAGAAGAGCAGATGGAGTGGAGAATTTGATATCTTCCCTCAAATACCTGAAATACTGTAAAGTGAAGAGAGTCAGCTTACTCTCTTTTGCCCCAAAGGACAGAAATAGTKACTAGAAATTACAGAGTAACTGATTTGTATTCAGTAAAGCACAGACTTTCTAGTGGTCACAGCCACTGGATAGGGAGAGCAACTGGCTTTCCAGTTACTTCAACAATGGCTACTGCTGCTCAGAAGAGACTGGATGAGACTCTGATCTGGGGCATTTGGACACAGGCAGAAGACAACTCAAACACCTCCTCCCACTCTTTTTAAATATTTTTTAGTTGTAGATGGACACAATACCTTTATTTTATTTATTTTTATTTTTTTTTAAATTATAGATAGGCAGAATGCCTTTTTTTGTTGTTTTATTTTTATCTGGTACTGAGGATCAAACCCAGCACCTTATGCATTCTAAGCAAGTGCTCTACCCCCGAGCTACTCTACCACTAAGCTACAGCCCCAGCCCCTCCTCACCTCTGACCCTGTGATTCTGTTAGTGGAAGTTAAGAGAGGAAAAAAGTCTCTTTTCACCCTTTCTGTTTAATTCTCATTCATTCTCTCTATCTCTCTCTCTCTCTCTTTTTGCAGTGCTGGGGATTGAACCTAGGGCCTTACTCATGTTGGGCAAACACTGAGTTATATCCCCAGCCCTTCTCATTTTACATATTTTGTTTTTACTGTCCATGAAATGAAAGCAGAAAAAGAATCCCTAAATAGTGTTAGGTTCAGCCAGCTTCTCTTGAGCATTGACAATGAGCTGAACACTGTGCTAAGGCAGGAGGTGCACAGGGGGATCAATGACTCTGCCTTTAAGGAGCTTATTGTTGAATGGAGGTTTCTGCTTAAAAGTTTAACAAATTTGTTCTTAAACTGTAACACAGTCAAATTATTTAGACATTTCATATCAGAGGAAGTTGATCAAGTGGTGGTCTTTTTTAAAACCACCAATTATGACATAAAATGAGGGGTTTTTTCCCCCCTTTGAGGCCAGCTATATTGTCTAGTGGTGAAAAGCAGAGTCTGATTAGGTTGGCTGTCTAGGTCAGATCCCAGCTCTAGGACTTAGCAGGTATGTAATATCTTTGTGCCTCAGTTTCCTTATCACAATGGGGGCATTGGAGGTAACTACTTCATATAGTTGTTAAGAGAATTAAGCGAGTTAAACGGTACATTAGAACTCTTAAACCAACACCTGGCCCAAAGGGAACACTGTGATACTCCTAATTGCTGTTTCCTTCAGAGTACAGTCCTGCCCCTGGCTGTTATGTATGTGGTTTAATGCCCTAAATCATTGTTCTTAAAGGGAGAAAGCAACCAATGATCAAGAAGTTGGTGAAAAGCATAGAAAAAGGGAAAAAAGCATCAAGCCAGAGAGAAGGAAATCAGACAGCTTTTTAGGGGCTTCAGAAGAAGGTATGAATTAATGATTGTTTATAATGCAGTCTGCAGTCCTTAGGCTTTGATGAGCATCAAAGTTATTAAATAATGTTTCCAAATGTTATACACAATCTTCCTTCCTTTGATAATTTCTTTACCCTTGCAGTTCATTGTAGGTTTTCTGTTAATTGCTGATCATAGCTTCATCACAAAAACAGTAACAACATCAAGTTATATTTCTTAAAAAAAAAAACATTGGCTAATCTCATTGTCTGGAGAGATGTTTTGCTTCTAGTTGTCCAACATCTTCAAAAGAATTTTAAATTTAGCTTACATGGATGCTCCAGACTCCACTAAGAAGTCATATATTATGGAATTTAAATGAGGTTTACAAGTAATGAAAAAGTCATAAATTAACTTTAATTTCAAAACTGTTTTAATAGAGCTTTAGGCTATTTACAAACAACAATCTCCTGTTTAAGAGACATTAACTCTGGGTTGGGATTGTGGCTCAGCAGTAGAGAGCTCCCCTAGCATGGGCGGGACCAGGTTCGATCCTCAGCACCACATAAAGGCATTGTGTTGTGTCCATCTACACCTAAAAAAATAAATACTAAAGAAAAAACATTAACTCTTTCAGGTCATATGGTATCCCTTTCATCCTTTTCTCATTTAATTTTTCTACCTTGCTTTGTGTCCCGGGATGCTGACTCTAGTGGACTGCCTCTCCCTAGCTTCCTGTTGGCCAGTGGGAGGCCCTGGCAAAAGAGCAGAGGGCAGAAGCAATGTTAAGGGGTTACTTTCCCTCCCTGCCTGTTTCAACACCTTGCATCTGATAGAAGTGGTGTTCCTTCACAAGCACAGCTTCTATGAGACAGTTCCAGCTGTCCTCTCATCCCCATTCCTCAGTCCCTTCAGACCTAGGTTTCCCATTGCTGCTAGTCACCGAATGCCTTGCCATTCCTTTTTTTTTTTATGTAGTTACTTAAGTAACTTAGGTAATCTTTATCTGTATTTGCCATGGGTACATTTTGTTTCCTCCAGAACCTTGACTAGACTATATGGGCTTTTAGTTAGTATTTGYGAATTAGTGTCATTGGTGTCCATTGCTGTGGCAAAGAGCTGCAGAATATTAGGAGGGAAAGCCATTAACCATTCTGCCTCTATAGAACAACTGTTATAGGTAAAACAGTTTACACTAAACTAGAGAGAACACTAATGTGAATTCTGAATTCTGACACTCTTTAACATAGAAAGTAATCAGGTTGTTTTTTTCTTCCTCTTATATTTCACCAAGATGAACTAAAACCGTGTTTTTGGAAGCGACTGGGTTGGTCTGAACCATCCAGGTAATGAGATATCCTGTGTTTATAGGTTAAAGTTTACCATTTACATAAGCAAATTGAAATATTCACTGGTTTCTAAATAAACATTAATGACAAAGACTTGAATTAAGACCAAGTTGCAYGGGGTTGGGGCTGTAGATCAGTGGCAGAATGTTTGCCTAGCATGTGTGAGGCACTGGGTTCGATCCTCAGARCCACATAAAAATAAAGGCATTCTGTTCATTTACAACCACAAAAAAAAAAAAATTAAAAAAGACAAAGTTGCTCAGTTTATAGATACATGTTTCTGTTTATTAAAAAATTTGAAATTAATTCTAACTTTATTTAAATTAGTAGAAGCAGCCTGAGAATACTTTTCATACAGAAAGTATACATAAGTTGCTGCTGTCAATTGCTTTGCATCATTTTTGCATTTCCATTTTATGTTGCTGATCATAATATCCCTTGATTACAAATATCAAAATCCCTGGGCTGGGGATGTGGCTCAAGCAGTAACACGCTCACCTGGCATGTACGGGGTGCTGGTTTCGATCCTCAGCACCACATGAAAATAAAATAAAGATGTTGTATCCACCAAAAACTGAAAAATAAATATTAAAAAAAGAAATATCAAAATCCCTTTTCCTTAAATTCAGTAGAACAGAAAGAGGATATTGTTTGTATCTTTTGAAAAAATGTATGTAGGGTTGGGGCTATAGTTCAGTGTTAGAGTGCTTGCCTTGCACATGTGAGGCACTGGGTTTAATCCTTAGCACCACATAAAAATATATTGTGTCCATTAAAAAAAGTCTGTATTGGGAAGGGCACAGTGGTGCACATCTGTAATCCCAGTGATTTAGGAGGCTGAAGCAGGAGGGTCACAAGCTCAAGGCTAGCCTGTCTCAAATAAAGCATTTGAGATGCTTGGGATGTAACTCAGTGTTAGAGCACTTACCTAGCATGTATCAGGATCTGAGTTCAATTCCCAGCACMACACAAAAAATAAAAACAAAAACAATAATAATAAAAAGCATATATATCAACTGGAAACTTTTTTTTTCTTTTTGTCTTTTAAAACACGTAAACACAGGATAATTGTGCTGGATCAGAGTGACTTRTCAGATTGACTGGAAATGGATCACAGATGGATTCTGACCCAAGTTTGAGCATCTTGGTTGTGAGCTCTTCTTTCTTCTGCTGCAGTTGCCATTGGGGCAGTGGTTCCAGTTCCTTAACTCACAATTTGTTCAGCTGCTACAGTAGACATAATGGTTTGGCCCCATCTGTGGGCAGCATATGTAACCATTTGTTTTTCCATCAAATTTCTGAAAAGTGTAAGGTAGTTGCAATTTTAAAATTTTCTCATTGTGCTCAGAATGGTTTTTGGTTTTGTTGGTGTTAATTTTTTTGAATATTTTAACTCCTGTTATATAATAAAATGTTTATTTTCAATACCATTTAGGTTCCAGCTATGTATTTCTGTGTTTAAGAATTGGGCGTGGGGGGTGGGGAAAGGAACTTCTATTCAAAAACCTTCAATTTCTGTTATAGGGTTTGGCACATGGGCAGCTACCTTCATATATGCTGGTACCAGTTGTCCCTGTTTTATCATAGAAATACTGCCCAACCTTTTGGCTGGGATTGCCCTATTCCCATTCCAGCTAGAAGCAACTTAGTAAGAGATAACAATAAAATGCTAAGATTTTTTGAACTGTTCAAGGTAAACAACATCTTCTCCATGTGTTTTTGATTGTGAATCCCACATCATTAGTGTACTACAAGAATGAAATTGTGGTAATACTAATCACAACGTTTTGTTTAGCTTAGCCTCTTTTCATTCCTGGCCTATGTGTAGCTAGCCTGATTTTTAGAGGGTTTATATCTTTCATTACCTCCCATTTGGAATCTTCATATATGAATAGAAACCCTCTCTTGGAAACTATGTGCTACACTGCAGCACTTACCAGCTAGCATTTTGTTCTGCCTTGGTGAGTAAGTAGCAGGCCTGTTGTTTGTGAAAACTGAATAGTTCCTATTGTGAGTAGTGCCCAGAAAATTTGCCCTGCACAGATAAAATGGAAGGTACAAGTCTGTTTGGCTATTTTATAGCAAGAAAACAGTTCCTTGCCATTGTATCCAGCAGAAAACCACCAGAAAACAAATTCATTTATAAATAATACTTTGAGAAATACAGATATTTATAATACATAGTCTTTCTCTCAAACAACTTATTATAATTGATGAGACAGAACCAACATAAGTAAAAATATAAGGTCTAATAGCAGATATACAATGATAAATGGTGACTTATGTTATTATCTGTTAATATGCATCAAGGATATAGGTCCGGATCTAGGGATGTGGCTCAAGTGGTAGCACGCTGTGATCCTCAGCACCACATACAAAGATGTTGTGTCCGCCGATAACTAAAAAATAAATATTAAAAAAAAAAAAGGATATAGGTCCTACACCAACTCCCTGTAATAAGGGTTGTAATCTGTCCACACAGAAAATTATTTTATTTGGCCCGTGACTGTAAAAAGTAGTGGTCAGTATTAGTAATCATAATGTTGATAGATATTATTTATTGGTTATAGAGCAATTATTATATACCAGTTGTTTTATTTATATTAATCAATTTTTCTGCACATGGGAGTCCCACTGTTTCTTTCACTCATCAGCTATTTTTCAAACTGTCATCTCTTACTTCCTATCAATACTCAACAGATGACTTCAGAGAAAATATAAGCCCTCAGGTGGGAGTTAACTCAGCTTCCTGCCACCAAAACTCCAAACATAATTACCTATATCCCTGTAGAACAGAAGTTGTTGTAGGTAAAGCAGTCAATAYTGGACTGTACATATTCTTTCCACTCTCCTCCCTGTTTTAATAAAGGCGGTGTCCCTCTTCCTATCCTTAGGTCAATCTCATCTTCTGTCCACTCAGGGTTTTCCTTCTGAGGTTAACATTTCTCTTTTTAGTAGCTTCAACCTTTCTTCTTTATTAGCTTCTTTTCATAAGCATTAACACACTGGGCTGGGGATGTGGCTCAAGCGGTAGCGCGCTCGCCTGGCATGCGTGCGGCCCGGGTTGCACCACATACCAACAAAGATGCTGTGTCCGCCGAGAACTAAAAAAATAAATAAATAAATATTAAAAATTCTCTCTCTCTCTCTCTCCTCTCTCTTTAAAAAAAAAAAAAAGCATTAACACACTTAGATTTTCCTATCTTTAAAAAAGTGTTCCCTGGATCCCACCTTCCCTTCTACCTACTATACCATCCTTCTCCTCCCACAGAAATTCTTGAAACATTCTTGTCTACATCTGCTATCTTTAGTACCTCACCTCCCACTCTTCTCAACCCACTCGAATTCTACTCCTTCCATTCTCTAGCAGTCACTAAGGTCACTGATGACTTCCATATTCCTAAATTCCTCAGTCACTTTGACCCCATTGTCAGTTTCTCTTTCAGTCTATCCTCTTAGCTTCCTTGATGTTGCACACTGTTATTTCTTCTCTCTCTCTCTCTCTCTCTCTCTCTCTCTCTCTCTCTCTCTCTCTCTCTCTCGTTGCCTCACCTCACCCTCCTTTACAGGCTCTGCCTTTGTCTTTTCTTACTGCAAGTTTTCCTCCTAAGCAACATAGTTTATTCCCATGATTTCAGTTAGCACCTATGGACTAACAATTTCAGATTTGTATTTTAAGTGTACAACCAGACCTCTATTATGAGCTATCTTATCTCTTATACTTCAGGTATCTTACTGATATACCCAATATTGAACTAATGCTATAAAGACAATAAATAGGTTAAAAGTAGTAGTAAATGCTGTAGGGGAGGCAACTTAACATCAGGTCAGGTGTTCAGGTGAAACTATTCTAAAGAAGGGATATTTGGGCTTTGGTTGAATCATGAGAAAGAGCCAGTCTTACAACTCTGAAGGTAAGTTGTTCCCAACAAGGGAGTTGACTGGAAGGAAGTGAGGATGGAAACTGAGCAAGAGGATTATAAAACTATGGCCAAACATGGGAATCCAGTGGAAGGTTCAAAGCCAGGGGACAGGAAGTAGGGTAAAAGCATTTTTAAAACTTTCTTTCGTACTCTAATTTTTTTCTCCAAAACAATCTTTTCATTTATTTTTATTTGCAAAATGATATTTTTATGTACAAAGATAATCGTTTCATTTCCTTGTCCAGAACTTTGCCCATTGCTTCTAGAACTATGAAACTTTTCTCAATTCTTCAAATATATGGCACATGTTATTCTTGACTAGAATATGCCTCTCCTCAACTAACTACTTCATTGTTTGGTTTTAGCTTTCACTTAACTTTTTTAAAGAGATTTTCTAAAGTCCCTGAAGCTTAGTCTAGGTTAGGGACCTCTGAAATTCTTCCTTAGTAGCCTGCCTGCCTTTTCCCAACCCACACATAGACCATATTCCATAAGGCCAGGAATTATGTATAAGTTGTTCACTGAGTTATTGCCACTTACATATATTAGGTGCTCAGCAAATATTTGTTAACTGGACAATTATTTTTAATCTTCACAACACCACTAAAAGTTATTATTCTAGGGGAGGCTTCTTAAGTTCCCATGACCTACCCAGGATCATACTRGAGCAAACATATTTTGTATTCTTAAATGGTAGTCTTCCATGATTGGAGTTCAAAGTATGATTATGAAAGTTAAATAAGAGCTAAATTCAGACTAAAACTCTTTAAGCCCCATTCCTATCTCCTCATCTATTCTGTGGGTTTGATGCTGAGTTTTTGTAACATACTGAGTCCTTCACTTTTCCTCAAGATGGGAAAGCAGACATGTAACAAGTTCCAGACACACAGTAGATAAAGATTGGCTTACTAGAAAAATAATAAGCAACCTTGCTTAAGCAAAGAAAAAATAAACATTGGCTAACTACTGAATTAAATCACTAAAGCACCCTTGGAAAACTAGGATTATTAGGACATTTCAGATTTGTTTTTTACTCATACATGTTGGTGTTAAAAGTGGGTTATAGTGAGGTATCCCCAAGAAAGAGCTTAGAAATAAGATGGTCCTGTGGAAGTTAAGTAAGCAAACCCCACTCTCTAACTTAAGACTGTTAATTGTATAGTTGCTATTCTTGGATATGATTTGTTCCCCAAAATTTCATGTGCTGGAGGCTTGTTCCTTAATGTAATAGTATTGAGAGGTGGTGGAACCTAGTAAAGTAGGCCTTTAAGGGCACCAACTTGTGTCCTGAAGTGGGGTAGGTGTTGTGAGTCTAGATTGGTTACTGCTGGAGTAGGTTTTGATATATAAAGTGAATTTAGCTTTCTTGGCTAGCCTTCTTGCTTTCTCTCTTGTCATCTGACACCTATCCCCCTCACATGTGCTCTCACCAGACACATGACACTATCTGCTCTCACCAGAAGCTGATGCCAGCACCATCCTCTTGGATTAACAGAACTGAAAACTAAATAAATCTGTTATCTTCATACAGTACCAAGACTTACATACTTTGTTATAGCCACATTAAATATTAAATAGAGTAGGGCAATAGTGGAATAGGAGTTTATAAATGAAAAGGAGTTTATAAATGTTTGATGGAAGCAATACTGAAAAGCAAGAGTAGGGATTTATACTACTACATACTTAGGAATAATGTAAAGTTCAATAATTAACAGTATGGCATCAACATAGAAATGAATATTTATAGAATATAAAAAGAGTCCAAAGAAAGAACTAAAGTATAAAGTTTTGGGAATTTAGAATATGAAATAATCTGTATCAAGTTAGATAATTTAACAAATGATAATGGGATATCTGACCAAACATTTGGAAAAACATAAAAGCTGAGTCCTTGTACCAAAAAATATGTCTGATTAATAAAAATTTTTAATTAAAAATAAATACATAAACATTAAGAAATATGTGACAATTTTATTAATCTTAGAGTGGGTTCAAAGTGAAGAGATTTTTGAATTTTACTATATAAAAATGTAAAATTTGGGGCTGGGGTGGCGGGCTTAGTGGTAGAGTGCTCACCTAGTGAGAGCGAGGCACTGGGTTCAATCCTCAGCACCACATAAAAATAAAGGTATTGGGGGCTGGGGTTGTGGCTCAGTGGTGGAGCACTTGCCTAGCATGTGTGAGGCACTGGGTTCAAGTCTTAGCACCACATATAAATAAATAAAGTCCATTGACAACTAAAAAAATTAAAAATAAAGGTATTGTGTCCACCTACAACTAAAAAATAGATTTCTTAAAAATTTAAGGGCTGGGGCTAGAGCTCAGTGGCAGAGAACTTGCCTAGCATGTGTGAGGCACTGGGTTCGATCCTCAGCACCACATAAAAATAACAAAATAAGGCATTCTGTCCATCTACAACTACAAAATTAATTAATTAAAAATATAAAATAATGGCTGAATGAGGATAAAGTCAACAAATGATAGAGTTGCAATATATTGTATGACTAAAAGGTTTATATTCCTAATATCTAAAGAGATCTAATAGCTTCTAAGAAAAAGACAAACACCTTAATGGAAAAACATGCAAAGAGCAATTCAGAAAAGAAGCATAACAAAGGGCATGGGGTTGTGGCTCAGTGGTAGAGCACTTGCCTAGCATGTGTGAGGCACTGGGTTAGAATCTCAGCACTGCATTATAAATAAGTAAAATGGGGGCCATCAACAACTAATAAAAATATTTTTTTAAAAAAGAAGCATAACAAGTAACCAGTTAGCATATTAAAAGATGTCTAGTTTCACTGATAATAAAAAATGTAAATTAAAATAAGATAACTAAAGAGGAAAAATATCGGTAAGATCTAAGTTTGGTGGGAGAGTGGGGAATCAAGCATCTGTGTTGGGGATATGAATTGGTGCCACTTATCTACAGAGAGATTTTTGAGTATGTATTTTAAATGTGAATGTTTTTTGATCTAGAAATACCATTTAGACCAGCACTTCACAAATTTTATTTTACAGATGAATCACCTGGAAATCTTGTTAAAATATGGATTTTGTTGCATGTCTGTAATTCTAGCCACTCAGGAGGCTGAGGCAGGAGGATCGCAGGTTTGAACTCATGCTGTGAAGACAATAAATAGGTTAAAACCACAGAATAGATGAAGAGATAGGGATGGGGTTCAATGAGTTTTAAGCCTGGGCAACCTAAGCAAGACCCTGTCTCAAAAAAAATGAAAAGGGCTGAGAATGTAGCTTAGTGGTATAGTGCCATGGTTTCTATCATTGGCATAAATTAAGTAAGTAAGTAATTAAGTAAATGTATATTCTGGAATTGAGGTCTGAGGTGATGTCCAAGCTTTTGCTTGTCTACCACTCTCCCAGGTGGTACACTTGGGCTGCTAGTTCATGCACCACCTGAATAGAATTCAGAGGTCTTTATCTTAAAACAATGGTCTTTAACCATAATTGTACATAGAATCATCTGAGGCATTTTTAACAAATACTGATGCTCAGGCTTACCACCATCTGATTTATTTCAGTAGATTTAGAAAAGGGGCCTTTAAAAGCTCTTCAGGAGGACTGAGGTTGTTGCTCAGTGGTAGAGTACTTGCCTTGTATGTGTGAGACACTGGGTTTAATTCTCAGAACCATATAAAAAATAAATAAATAAAGGTCCATTCAACTTAAAAAAAGGTATACAAAAAACTCTTCAGGAGAGGCCAGGATAAAGATTTTTGGAACCAGAGATTAAACTCAGGGGAACTTAACTACTGAGCCACATCCCCAGTTATTTTTTATTTTATTTAGAGACAGGGTCTCACTGAGTTGCTTAGGGCCTTGATAAATTACTGAGGCTAGCTCTGAACTCAAGATCCTCAGCCTCCTGAGCCACTGGGATTACAGGCATGTGCCACCACATCTCGATCTAGGATAAAGAACTATTGTCCTAAGGAGAAAAAGATAAAATTACATTAAAGGATGTTTATTTCAGTGTTGTTTATAATTTTGAAAAACTGGAAACAAGCCAAGTGCCCAGCAATAAAAGGTTGGTTTAAAAAAATAATAGAGGGGCTGAAGTTGTGGCTCAGTGGTAGAGCACTTGCCTAGCATGCACAAGGCCCTGGGTTCAAACCTCAGCACTACATAAAAATAAGTAAATAAAATAAGGGTATTGGGTCCAACTACAAAAAAAAAAATAATAGAATGAATTTATCAACAATTTTATGGAATAATGCTACTAGTACTATGCTAGTAGATATAATAGGGCCCTATAAATTTGTAGATAAATATCTACATATGGAAGTGTATAGAAAGATATATGGAAAGATGCTTATTAAAATAGTAAACTGGGGGGGGCTGGGGTGTGGCTCAAGCGGTAGCGTGCTCACCTGGCATGCGAGCGGCCGGGGTTCGATCCTCAGCACCACATACAAAAACAAAGATGTTGTGTCCACTGAGAACTAAAATAAATAAATATTAAAATTATCTCTCTCTCATCTCTCTTTTTTAAAAAAAATAGTAAACTGGGGGCTGGGGTTATAGCTAAGTGGTAAAGCACTTGCCTAGCATGTGTGAGGCACTGGGTTCAATTCTCAGTACCACATATAAATAAATTAACAAAATAAAGGTCCATCAACAACTAAAAAATATWAAAAAGATAGTAAAGTGGGCTGGGCACAGTGGCACATACCTGTAATCCCACCAGCTCTGGAGGTTGAGGCAGGAGGATCACAAATTCAAAGCTAGCCTAAGCAACTTAGCAAGAGCCTGTCTTCAAATAAAATATAAAAAGGGCTGGGGATGTTGCTCAGTGGTTAAGCACACCTGGGTTTAATCCCAGGTACAAAAAAAAAAAAAAAAAAGAGAAAGAAATAGTAAAGTGGTTCTTTGGGTGATTTCATTTTTTGCAATTTCTTCTACAAAAAACTTTGAATTTAGGGGAGAAAAAAAGGTTTAGGAATTCTTAAAACTAAAATCAATGGGAAAGAGAACTATAATGTTATAATTAGTAATGAACAATTTTATAACTCATTAGAAGAAAAATGTTTAACAGAAGAGAATGGTCAGTATAGAGCACAGAAAATGAAGCGGACCACTAATTACCTTGATAACCCTTTGGAGTAAATAACAGAAATGTTGGATATGATAGGGTCTATGTCCAAAAGACAGGTAAGGGACCTATAAAAGCGAGAGAAAGACAACAAACTTATCCAGAATAGTYCTCCACATTGGAAAGTCACTCTCTAATCAAGAGGAACCAAAGTCCAGCTGATTGGATTGCTGACAGGAGAGGATCATGAGAAAGGACCCAAACATTTATTGTGTGTCACCCACATACCAGGAAGTGGTTTCCAGATGAAGAAACTAAGACTCAGGTAAGTCAGGTAACTTGTCCAAGGTATACAATTAGTCATTTATAATTGAAACTGATACTAAATCCAGATCCCTTCTACTAAGGACCAATAATATGAGACTTGAGTAACCTAGATTTTTAACCCAGAGTCAACTGAAACACCCGTGAAACCTGGAAATTGCTGGAGCTTTATCTTTGAGTATTGGGGGGAAATATACTGGGGATCAAACCCAGGAATACTATACCAYTGAGCTAAATTCCCAGCCCTTGTCATTTTTAAATTTTGAGACGAGGGTCTTACTAAGTTGCATAGGCTGATCTTGTGATCCTCATCTCAGCCTCCTGGGTCGCCGGATTACAGGCATGTGCTGCCAAATGTGACTTGGAGGTCTACATTTTGACTTTAACATACAGTGTGGTTTCAAATAAAATTGGGTAACTTTGTACAATATAACATACCTTATTAAATCTGGGACTAACACAGCATGATTGATTTGAGTAGCCTTGCTTTCATAACTCTTCAAGCTGATTTCTCTGGATGAGTTCTGAAAATTCTTGGAACCTAGAGACAGTAAGGAAACCTCTATATACAAAGAAATCCAGATTTTGTTAAGAACCTGGCCAAAGGTTTGGTAGTGTCAAGTCCAAAGATAAATTCAGTTTTCTTTCAGGTACTGTTTGGGTTTCTCTAAAGAATTATGTACAACAGGATGTTTAATAGGAAGCTTCTTCCTTTATGACATCATCAGACAGAAAGGTAGCTAAGGGGACTATTTGAGACACACAGAACAACAGCCACTTTTGTGGGAGTCCAAGAACAGCAGCTTTTTAAAAATGAGAGTAAATATTCAGGCTTCATTAGGATCCTGAAGACAAGCCAGCGATAAAATATGGCATCTACCCAGAAGGGCACMGTCTTTCAGGTGGTCAAGACAAATAAAACTGGGTCCAAGGTAGCAGTTTCAGCACATAAAGGGGCTGAGGTTACTACTTCCACCCCTCATCGGGGACATGGGTACCTTCTTTCCTCAAGCCACCGAAGTGCTGCTGTCTCTTTGAATCCTTCTCCCCAGCAAAAATTAGAAGCTGCACTTCCCACTACTCCCCATTCAGCATCAGACTACTCTCGATTTGTGTCCCCACATTCAGGGCATGTCCACTCTACAGCACAATTCCATCGGGGAACTGAGACCCGAACAAGAACAGAGGCACACCGCCATCACTCTCCTCATCGAAAGAACCAGCAAGTTCAGACACCGGCTTCCCATTCTACAAGTGTACATCGGCACCTTAGTCCAGTCAGAGAGGAAGCAAYGCGAAGAAGTGGTGAAAGCAAGCCAGGGCGTGAAGTTGGCCATCGTATCTCACCCCCCGATGCCAAGTCTACCCGTCGCTTGAGTTTTATGGACCAGAAGGATAGCTTGCAATTACATAACTTGCAAGAAGACCCACCTTCCAAGGTCCAGAATCCTCAAGGGGTCAGAGTTCCTCGTAGGATTTCAGCCTATCCAAAGGATGAAGCAATACAAACAGAGACCACTCGAAAGATTTTGAGTGTTGGTGAGGTCAGACCTCCAAAGCGTCCCTCTAGCCCAGAGCATGGCCACAGCCGTATGGTAGACCATCGGACAGTCCATAGAAGGCTCACTAGCCCAGAGCCAGAAGTGGATCATCACAGCTCAACTCCTTCAGAACCCAAGGCTTTTCAAAGGAATATGAAAATGGCATCATCCCTCAAACTCTCTGTCCTTAAAGATTTAGATGGTGGACACCGAGCAGCACATTCAGCTCCTGAGACTCTCTACAAGCATCCTGCGTACACCGAGACCAAGCATTCTCCAAAGGTCATAATGTCATCAGAGGTGGAGTCCAACATGAGGTCCCCAATCCGAGACAGCGAGGTTGGCCGTGAGGTCAGCCGCAAGGCCACCATCTCTCCACAAAGACAGTCAACTCAGCGTGTGACATCTCGAGCAGGGTCTGAGGGCCCCCACAAATCTCTCGTCTTTGTCACTCCAGAGCCCGTCCATAAGCAGCAAATGCAAAGGCCCCCAGAAACTATCTACGTGTCCCCAGGACCTGCACTCAGGTATCAAGAACCCTCCCGAAAGCCCTCCATCCATGCAGAAGTGGAACTGACCCCTCGGCCCTTACCCCCTCGGTCCTTACCTAGGTATGGGCCTGACTCCTCATGGTGGGCCTTACTGAATCCTGAAGTTGAAATACCCCAAAGCCGGCCGACAACACCTGATTTTGAGCCTAAGTCTCCTCCTCCCCTAGACCCTTTAGTGTCCCTTTTTGAAATGGACTCAAGCCCTTTCTGTGAGGACCTGATGTTCCAGAGAGAGAAGGCAAGTCCACCATCACCACCATCACCAAAGGAGTCTCCAGGTCGGGTACCATTGAGGGAAGTGCCTCAGGCCCCCAAGCACACCATCAAACAACCCATTCAAAGGTTTAATGCTTTCTTCCTGGGTATGTGAAGAAGCATACTGCCCAAGTGCAGCCCCAATTTAGTGAGATGGGACATTGGGGTGGGCAGGAAAGGCCCCCCTCTTCATTTCGGGCCTCAGGGCTGCCCTCCGGCCAGTGTCAAATCTAGTTCCATCTTTGAGCCCAATGCTCCATGACTTTTCTGCCAGCTTCTCTGAGCTCCAAGTTAATGACCTCGATGATGATGCTTGGGCCTGGCGTCAGGCATTGACTCTTCCAGGCAATGCTGCTTAACTTGTCAATGGAAGGTAGTAGAGAGTGGTTTGCAGGATCGGAAGCTGATTCCTGAGAGTGGAGATGAAGAACTGAGCTGGGGTGAGGGCTGGTAAGGGCTGTTGAAAAGAATAAGGGCCTCAGGTAAATGTTCTGGCATCAACGTGGAGTAGGTGGGGCACAGATGACTTGAGACTTGGGCTTACAGGAGGGGGAAGACATTAATGGTGGTGAAGAGGGAGGGTAGAAGGAAGGGAGAGGGAAAGGGGAATATGATATTTGGGCCTAAGTGGGAGGAGCTCTTGGAGAGAGTGGAGGGCTGAGGGCACCTTTGGGTGGAGACATAAGGAACTAGAAAGGTAGATGATGTAATGGGGGGGAGGGGTGTCATCCCACAGACAGAAGAAAGCAATAATCAGTCTGTTATTTTCAGATGTCTCTGAGGAAATGCAGAATCGAATCATCTGGTGGCTAAGAGGTCTGTGCTTTTCCTTCCTATGGGTTCATTGTGAGACGTTGAGGAGCAGAGGGTGGCCTTTTTATTCTATTATAGAGCTTGGTCTTTTAGTAGAGTCCCTGCTGGGGTTTTGACCTAAAGGAGCAGAGGAACAACTTGTCTTGCCTATAATTTCACCACTAGAGCCATCCCTTTGGGAATTGGAACTTTTTTCATTTTCAAGATTCTCCTCTTAATGAGAAGTCACTGCAGGAATGAAGAATGATTTAAGCCTCATAGCTTTTTGGCTTACCTGGTCCTACTTATCATGTCCTTAAAAAAAAAAAAAAAAAAAACATCAAAGCAAACTCCCTGCTTCATAGTCTTCTTCAGAGCTGCCTCCAGACTAATTCATGTGTCTCTCTGGCTCCTCGACCCTCCTCAATCCCCAATACTATGACCTGGGGATATAATAGCTGTTGCCCAGAAAGGGTTTCCATGTATGTCTGGACCTTCTCCTTGTGGTCATCAGTGGGTTTTGTGGCCAAGGCTAGAAGCCATAAGTGTCCTCAGGACCTCAGGATTCTCCTTTCAGTTTTTATTCTTGGCCTCTCTGGTCACAGTGGAGGGTGGGGATGAGCCCTCAGAGAGTAAATCTCAGCAGCAGGGACTTCTTGCTTGTGAGCATTGTGTGGCCCAACATAAGTTCCAGTCCCATGAACACTATAGACGCCAGGGATCTGGATGAAGAAGTTATTGGGGAGGAGAGAGCCCTGGGAATCCAGTCATTCCCAACCAGAATGAGCCCTCTGAATGATAAATTGCAAAGAATAGAGAAGGGCAGCTCTGTCTTTCAGAGGGAGCAAAACTCTATAAAAACAGGAAGGTAACAAAGTATGGATTCTGGGATTGTTTTATTGGTTTGAGCCCCAGGTCTACTATTTCCTGACTATGACCTTGGGTAAGTTATTTTACCTCTCCAATCTTCAGTTTCCCACAGGTTATGTGGAAATAATGGCTTTCTCTAGGTTATTGTGTTCACTACTTAGCATGGAACTTGTCCACAGTGAGCACTCAGTAAATGCTAGCTATTGTTATTTGGGCCACTTGGAATAGGTGGGGATTTGGACCAGGTTATGCCTATTCTCACTGGACATCTTTAGTAAAATTCTCTTTTTCCCCTTCTGTTGGTACTGTCTGATTCCACTTGCTGCCCCCTGGGAATGCCTGGCTTCTACTTCTTTGTTATGACAGATGAAGAGGTAAGAATGCCACTGGGAAGTTATTTCCAGCCATTCAGTGCCCCACCCCCTTGTTCAAGTCCTCCTCTAGTCCTCTGAAGGAAGTGGGTGTGGAGGGATATAGAGCTGCTTGGTATGGTTGGGTAGTTTGTCCATTGCACAAGTGTGCTTGTGTTCCACTTGCCAAGCTGTGCACCTGTGGCACTGCTTCTCCCCAGAGGGAGATCTGCACAAGTGCTATATGAGCTAGTTGCAGCCCTGGAGAGAAAGAACAGAGACGTTTTAGCAGATGATGAATCTTGCCAAGTGCTCTGTGGGAAGACAGGGCAGCTATGTGTTGGATTAGTCCCCACCTAACTCCCTCCTCTCCTGCCAGGGGCACTCCAGAAAGGGGTCACTTTTCTGGGTTACACACTATTTGGGTCCTTAATTTGGAAAGGCATAAGGTGGACTCTGCTTTTGGCAGTCCTCTGTCCTAAATTTGGCAGCGTCCTGATTTTGCAGTGTATTTTTTGTTCCCATAGTACTTTGGCTCTTCTTGGCCCATGTTTGATAAGATGGTCAAAGCTCTTCCTGTTTTCATTCTTTCTCTTGTCATATTCCTCTCTTATCCAACACCTAGCAATGACCTCTAGTAGGTTCCATCCATGGGCTGGCTGGCCCAGGCCAAACAGTTGACTACAGACAGAAAACAAATGAGAGGGGGACAACTTGAGAGCTCAGATAACCAAGCAGCTGAAGGGGAGGTATCCAGGAATGCAGCTTCCACCTCCTCTGCCATTATCCAGCCTCCAGCCCCCAGCCCTGGGCTCAGCTGTAGGTGGGAGCAGCCACTTTTAGAGATTGCCTCCATGTAAAACAGTAAATCCCTCCTTCCCTCCCTCCCTCCTTCCCTCCAACCTTCCCTCCTTCCTTTTCATAGACAATTTTTATTCAGATACCTAGCACTCTAGGCACGCTTGGGGAAAAATCTCATAGTACACACATAACATTCTTTGGCAGTGAGAAACTGACCATCTGGTTGGGAAGATAAGATATGGACAGGAAACATTTAAATAACAATTTGTAATAGTTTGTATTCAAATGTCAAAATAAACAGAACAGACTGAATAGGTACCCTTGGAGGGTCTTAGGAGAGAGGGAGTCAGCAAGAGGTGGGTAAGGGGGTTCAGTTACACCCTCTTTCCCAAAACCAGGGGAGTTATATTAACAACTGGCTTCTTGCTTACCTCTTAATTTAAATCTATACCTTTGGGAGGGGGCACTATTTCCCTTCGTTCAAGATTTGATGTTTTTGACAGAGAAGGCTCGTCCCTGTCCTCCCCCACCCTCACCCATTTTTTTCTGTGCATCTTGTTTTAGTTTAGGAAGTCAAAAGCCTTGGCAGCAGGACAGCTCCTTCCAAAAATAGCTCTTATCCTGTCTGGATAATTACAGCTTTCCAGCCCTGTTCGGCAGCAGAGCTGCTCCCCAGAAGCTGGGAAGAGAAGCTCCCAGGCAGCTGGGCTTCTGGTCTTCTCTGGCTCCCTGAAAGTAGGGGGCTATTGATGTGGGCCAGATAGTCTCCCTGAAAAATATAAGATAATTAGGTTTCTCCAGCTCAAGCTGCATGGTCCTCAGGCAACCTCAGAATGGAGACTCTGGTGCTAGTGTCCAAAGCCTCTGTTTCCTCTGATCTGAGAACGGTTGACCATAGAGTCTGTTCCAGATTCCATTCCCAGCAAGAATTCTCTGGTGGCCCACTAGGCTTGCCTGGCTCATGGAAGACGGCATGTTTGTTGTTGAGCTTCATAAGGCCCTGTGGGTCCACAGCTGGGGATGGTGCCTAATTCAGCCTACATCTGTCTTTGTCAGTCTCCTCCCCAATGGCTCCTCAAGGCCCTTTTGTCTTAGGGGACAGATACTTGTCATCCTTGGATTGGGCATTAGGGGCTAAACTCTCCCCAAAGGAGGTTGTGCTGGATCGAGGGAAGCATTCCTAATAGTTTGTTGTTGTTGTTGTTGTTGAGAGAGAACTAGCAGAAGCTCTTTTGGGTCAGTAATGGCAGGGGGATCGGGGGGCTCCTTTCTCATACAGCTCAGGGGAGTTCCTCTTGAATAGGTGGAGCCTCAATTCCTCTGATGGACAGAGCCACCCCAGCTTCAAGATCCTGTGTTTTCAAGGCACCTGTCCTACTCACCCTCATATAAGACTTCTCAAGCTGTCAGAGAACAAGATGGTTATATTATTCGTATGTGTGTGTGTTCATATACATACATACACACATATGAATGTGTATATATATAATGTATGTGAATATGTGTGTGTGTGTGTGTGTGTGTGTGTGTGTGTGTGTGTGTGTACATATATATAAAAAGAAACCAACCAACTCTGGAGAATAGGCCAGGAACCAGAGAAGACCATCTTTGTGATACCTGAGACAGACCTCAATGCCTTTAAGATAACATGTCATTTGACCCCCGAGGGACTGGACAGTCAGCCTCTTTTTGACTCCTGAATTACTGGGAAGTTTTGCTGAGGGGCACTTTGTTTATACAGAAAACCTCAAAGCCTTGGAGGGTCCTGGAATGTGTCTGCATTCATGGGGATGGTAACAATCCTAGGATGTGGCTGTCTGAAAGCAACCTTGTAGACTGTTTTTTCTCACCTCTCCCATTACCTTTGCTTTGTATAGAGGATCATAATTGAGAGGAAAGGGAATTGTTGAAAGAAAGGCTGAAAATGGGGCAGAGCATCACAGGAGGCTTTTCATAATAGCTTGACCCTACCGCGCAACTTCCTAGGAAGCAGCCATCTCATCCAGTCAGATGATACCTTGATCATCTCCAGCTTCCATGGGTTGCTAACTCCAGAGCAGGACAAAGTCTGGTGACCTTTCACCACGACTTGTTAATTTGGGGATAGGCAAGGTGGAACAATTAATTCATAGGGGTTTAGCACTGAAAGTCCTGTGTTCCAAGGATCCTTTCAGTCTTGGGCACCCCATGACTGTTAAGTCATTGGGACTGGGACAAGCTGTGGTTTACCTCAACAAGAATCCCTGGAAGCACAGGGCAAGGGAAATGATTTCCTGGATTCACTGTGAGATCTGGACAGGTCCCTCCTTTTTTGCCTATGAAATGGGCAGAGGAAAATGTATTGCCTTCCTCTCGGGTTTGATGGCAAAAGGGAGGACACCCTTTGTTCTTTGTTCTGTCCAGAAAAATCTCACATAGGAAGGAACTTGCCATATCTACTTTGAACTTTCTGGTATATTGTCAGAAGCTACTTGCTTTCCTGACTGGAATCCATCTCCAACATGATATCTTTTCATAAGAGTACTTTGGTGGTGTTTGAAATGGTGGATTTTTCCAGTCAGAGGAAGAATAGTAGGCCTGGGTGAAATATGGAGGTTGGCTTTAGAGGGTAGGGTACATACTTGGGTAATCCATAACCCAGAAGCCACCCCAACAGCTGCTCAGCAGAAGAAGGCTTTCCTAAGTGGCAGAAATGGTCATGTCCCTTCACCCTCCTCTGCTCAGCTGCTTTTGTCTCAGCTGCTGTGAGGGGAACATCAAGAGACAGCTGCACCTTGGGGGCTGAATGAAGGCTGGAGGAGGGGAACAGAATGTGAGGCAGTTCCTGAGAAATGTCCAGCCTCTGAAACTGAGTAAGAGGACTGGGCCAGCCAAAGTCTCTGCCTTGTTTGGCACACTAACCACAGGCAAAGTCATCTAGCTCCATGGGGTCTCCATAGTGGCTGTCTTCAGGAATTTGGGTTAGTAGGTCTGAAACCAAGACCTGCTTTCTAGAGATGGAGTGGTGTCCAACTGGAAAAGCTGACTCCATGGGAGCCAAGAGCATGGTCATTCCATTGTCACCTTAGTCTGAGGAATTACTCAATTATTCTTTCTCCTCCCATATGTCTACAACCATTATACACGCACATTCCTAATCCTCAGGAGAGAAGGCATTTGAAAAAATCATAGTTGACAGTGGCTGGTTTGGTGTAGATAATTTTCCCAAGAGCTGAGATAATAGCTACCATTCATTTTGGTGATTATACCTTGTTAAATGTGTTAGTGAATTTTTACAGCAATCTCTGAGGTATACCTTTTCCTATTTGATATATGAAAAAACTGAGGCTCAGGATTTGTTCAAAGTTGGAAGCTCTTTAAGAAGATCTTGCCCCAGAGTTTCAAGTATGTGGTATAGAAATCCTTCTTGTGTAGCCATATCTTCCTGGCAAAATAACTTCCCATACAGACCATGTTGGCCTGCCCAAAATAATTCTCAACAATATCAAGAATTATGAGGGGCTGAGGTTGTGGCTCAGTCAGTGGTAGAATGCTTGCCTGGCAAGCATGTGTGAGGCACTGAGTTCAATTCTCAGTACTGCATATAAATGAATAAAATAAAGGTTCATTGACAATAAATAATATATTTTTAAAAACTACAAAGAGGATGGTTTTAGTGGGAGCAGCATCCATTTACTTGCATGTGAATTACGAGCCCGGGAGGTGGGCA